AATTATCCCACAAAAATGCCCCCACTTCATATGCATTCAGCTGATTTTAAAAGATGGCACTGAATTTATAATAAATCAGATTTGTCTGGACCTCCCAGTGATGATCAGCCACTGCTTCTGTCCTCTTTTCCTTCTTTTCTCTTGTGTCTTGTTCACATCCTGACCCCTCTCTCCTTCGCCCACAGGGTGTTCTCAGCCTACATTAAGGAGGTGGAGGAGAAGCCTGGCCCCACCCCCTGGGGCAGCAAGATGCCATTCGGAGAGATGTTGTTTGAGTCTGGTGGGTCTGGAGCAGCAGGTCAAACCTCAACTGGAGGCGGCGGTTGGGTGCACAGCGTGTGCTTCTCACACTCCGGTAACCGCTTGGCCTGGACCTCCCATGACTCCACTGTGTCTGTCGCAGAGGGAGGCAAGACCAGCACGTAAGAGAGGGCAGGGCAGCGTACCTGTGTGTTTATGTGTGTTTATGTGTGTTTGGGGGCGTGGGCATGGACTCTGACCTTTGTTATGACTCCACAGGGTGAACAGTCTGAGCTCTGAGACACTTCCTTTGCTGTGTGTCACCTTCATCACTGAGAATAGCTTAGTGGCAGCTGTGAGTATCCAATACATATCCATCATTCTGTTTGTTTTATTTTAAACACTTTTACATATTTTGTGTGTGTCTAACTGACTGATTGGAAGAGTCTGCACTTGATAGAACCAACACATTTCAGCACTGAGCCGCCATCTAAATCCCGACTCACTCATTCATATTTTAATATTTGCATCCTGGTATCGACAATGTAAGAATTTATTTGGTTTATTGTTCATATCTAATGTTTAATAATATTTAATCTAATTGAGGCAATGGGTATATGTTCTCTGAGGTTAAAAAGAAATAAAACCAGTAATGTGGATAAGAAAGCTACAAAAGTCTAAATCAGAAAACTGTAATTTAAAGTGAGGCATTGTCACTTTTGCTGAACAGTGCAGTCTGTGTGGCAATTACAGGATAATGGCAAATTGAATTGCCCTTCATTTTCCATGATTGTCTTGAGTCAGTTCCTTTTGAAGTCATTAATGGGGCGTCCTGATGGCCTCAGGGTTTAAAGGCCTTGAACACACCCACGTGTTTTTAGTCATTTTAACTGATTACACCTCTGTCTAACTGGGCGCAACGTGAACAAGAGAACATCAGATTGGACCATCCATTGGTAGGATTAAAAGCCATTGTGATAGATGGGGACACAAATGTATGCCATCAAAATAATTATCAAAATTTTACATAAACTGGCTTTGAGCCTTCTGACTGTATCTTTGTAATACAACTAAAATCACAAGTGAGATCTAAAGTCTCATTTTACCACATGGATATTATATCCATACAAACTGTCTTCCACCTCCATCCTGATGTGTTTCTCTTCCTCCAGGGCCATGACTGTTACCCAGTGCTGTTTGTGTACGATGGTGCCAAAGCCAGCTTGACCTTTGGGGGCAAACTGGACGTTCCTAAGCAGGCGACCCAGAAGGGCATCAGTGCCAGGGAACGTTTCCAGAACCTGGACCGTCGGGCCTCAGAGACCCAGAGCACCGAGAAGGACCTGAACACCCTGCACAAGAACAGCATCAGGTGAGGAGAGAAAATGTAGACCGTTTCTGTTGCTATGGCAGCAGCTTTGGTCTTTACTTCCTGTCAGGTACCAAGGAGATTTTTGTGTGTATCTATGTATCGTTTATAGGTTCTTTGTCAGCTTCTGCATTAATAATCTAACAGGAGATACACAGAGACCAATTTACAGTGTTTATGTTATAAAGTTTGAAATGGTAGTGCATGCTGGACTGTAGATCAGTTTTCAAAACAGTTGGTTAATATTTCTAAATCAAATTTTTCTCATTAATGCAGGGTCAAAAAACAATGCTTAATTTGGGAACTCATTCACAGACCACTTTTTAAATTCCCCAAAGGAAAAAACTTTCCACCTGGCAATAATTTACAATTTGAACTCAATAGTATGGCTGCTGATTTTCACATACGCACACAACATAATTTAATTTTTAAAGGCATCATCACAATCTTTTTTTTTTTTTTTTTTTTTGGAAACAAACAATTTCTTGTGGCAACATCATATGGTTTTATTTGACTTGTGTCAAATTATATTTCAGCCAAATCTCAGTACTGGAAGGAGGACGAAACCAGTGCACCAAGTTCTGCACCACCGGCATGGATGGAGGGATGGGCATCTGGGATGTCAAGGTAACACACACACACACACACACACACACACAAGGGAATGTGGGGTTTAGGGGTCCTCTGCCAGACAATTTTGAGCATCAAACACATAATCTGCTGTATTCTGGTGATTTTTTTAATGCAGCAATATGTGTCTTTACTGTCTCAATTTATGGTTTAAATGTGAAAGGCCAAATGTGTATGTTCTAAATATTGAGGGGGACACCTGCACAGATCACACAAGAACACACTGATCTGCAGAATGTTTTACTTGTGCAATATCCTACCGACATGTTTCCCCATGCCTAATATAAATTTTGTTTTTTGATGTCTCTTTTTTTTAGAGTCTGGAGTCTGCAATGAAGAACTTAAAGATAGTCTGAACCAAAGTTTACGCCTCTCCGCCCATTTAGCTTTATTAGCCTCTGGAGATATGAAGGAAAACTGCTGCCTTATTACACAAAGCCTCTCAGCCTTATTTTATCAGGTATTTTTTATATGAAATTTTAAAACGATCAGACTTGGGCCAAACAGTGTTTGTAATCCCTCTGAGGCTCTTTGCTGAGTGTGTTAAACTCAACACTGAACACAGAGCAACTGACCACAGGTCTGCAAGCGGTACTTAATGAGTTAGATTACTATAATCAGAGAGAGCTCCGTCTGAGCTGAATGCTTAAAGCTGGGTTTTATATTAATCATGATGAAAGGCTACAGTATGTGGTAAAGCTTATGCTGGTCATAATATGCAATAAATAAATGATTGCTGTTACACTGCTCAACAATGCTTGGTTTATTTCAGGTGTGTCACACATATTTTTGTTTTTGGAAATGTGGAGGTTGTAACAACACAAGGAAGTTGATCCCAGCAGTTCATTCTTGATCTTAGAAACAGCCATTAAGAAATAACCTCAGCTCAAGGTCGACTTACTTTGTTGTAGAGATGCTCAGAGTCATTTAAGTTTGAACATCTATAGTTTTAACAAATGCAGTTTACAAGGACCATTTTTAATTTAATTTACCATGTGATATTGTCAAAAGCTCAGAAGATGAGGAAGAGTTTACATTCTGTTTTGACACAAAAATGACTCATGGATGGTTTTTTAAAAAAAAAAATATTATTATTTCCTATATCCTATCTAATTTGGCCAAAAAAACAACAACAGCAAAAAAATGTATACACACACACACACACACACACACACACACACACATATATATATATGAATTAATTAATAAAATAAAATGAAATTAGATTTTTTTTTGTTTTTGTTTTTTGTTTTGTTTTTGTGGTCTGTAAAAAATATATCAGGTGAGTGCATACTGGTGTGATCTGGACCTCAGTATTTTATTTCAATTTAAACAATACATATGTATATATAGAAGTATATGTATATATATTATAATATATTGACCAATTAAAAATTAATACTATTTTATATTTTTTCATTTTTCATTATATATATATGTGTGTGTGTGTGTGTGTGTGTGTGTATAGATATATGTGATGGGATAAACATAATAGTAACACATAACATGCCAGCAGTCAACATACATATGTAGAAGTTAATCTAAGTGAAAATATTAAATTATTACTATTATTAAAGTTTCTTCATCTTAAGTTATTGTCTTAATAGGCTTCAAAGCTCAATTACTTTTTCTGAAAACATGAAACTGAGGTTACACTTTAGCAAATTTACATTTATGAATAGCAAAAATAAATAAATAAATAATTGACAAAATATCAGGATACAGAACACCAGGTGAACAATAGCAGCACATATAAATGTTATACTGTTATACATAAAGTAAGAATATTGAAATACTCTTACATATAAATAGATATTAATGTAGAGGATTCAGGGAGGAAAAAAGTTTCATAATTTTCCCAAAGCTTAATACCTTTTTGTGTTAGTGTTGTGTTAATTCTTTAAACTTATTCAACAATACAATGTACAAAAAAAGACATCCGGTATAAAACGAACACAACAGTACATGAGAGCTGAAACAAACTGCAATGAAAGATGAACAAATAATAGATAAAGTAAGAATGGAGATTAAAAAAAAAAGTTCATTTCACAATCAAGGTTTCATCAAATTTTCTTTTGTAATATTCTAAAAATCTGTTTGCTTGTTTTGTTGTTGTTGTTGTTGTTGTCTGTAACACCAAAGCAGTTCAACACTGAGTTAAAGTCAATCAAAAAAATCATGGAAAGAGTGTTGTGAACCTAAGACCTTCTGTTTATGCATAAATAATTCCCTAAATAAGGTAACAAGATAGTTCAGAAACGTTTTGCTCATATCATCATAGTAACAGATTATAGAGTAAAACAATGGGTGATCTTTGTAGTACTGAAAAAATGAATGAATCAGTGTTTCATCAGCATGTCCACAAATATAGCAAGAGTTATCAACATCCATATCTGGAAATAATATAATTCACTGGGTAGATTTTGTGCAAAATTTTCTAACTGACATTTTACTTTGTATCGAATACTGTACATGTAAGGTAAAACCATGTTTTTTGCCAGTTAATCTCTCGCAAACGTGAGTTCCAGTAATAATTTCCCTCTGGGGGCGATTTTGTTTTAGTGTTGTGATAATCTCCAAGCCTCAATCAACCCAGATGACATCACTATGACATCATCAGGGTTGCTTTTCTAATCAGATTTGACAATGCTACTGCACAGCCACAGGGGACATTAACATTTTCACTAAGCATGATCTGTAAACTGACCTGAGTGCAAACATCAAACTGTGTTTCTCTTTATCTGAGCACAATAATAAAGCACACATACCCATCATCATGTCATGAGATCATCATCACGCAGCCTCAAACTCCGTGCCTGCATCAACACCTAGAGGAAGCACCAGAAACTGCAGGAAGCAAATGCACAAATTTCCTCAGCCATGAATCAGTCCCTCGGAAAATGATGTGGCAGCCTTCAGTGATGAAAAACAACCCTCCTCACCGAGTCGTGATGAGGTGAACCGGCGGCTGGAGCTCCACCAGAGACACACACAGACTCACAGAGACACACACACACAGAGAAGGGGAGAGACCACCAACATCAACACCACCACCAGCAGCACCGTGCAGGAAAAGCGGCCGTCTCCTCAGAGACCATCCCCGACGCCCACACTTCCGGACTGGAGCCTCTGGAGGCAGCTGGGTCGGGATGCGTCCGTCTCCCGGTGCTGCTTGAGATGAGGATAAGACGACGACGTCTTCCCCGGTGAAACGACGGTGTTCGTCACGTTTCATTAGACGTGCCCGTTACAATCTGAGCAGCACCGATCAAACCGCGGAGATTCATTCGCTCAGCACTCAGAGGGGATTCAGGCTTTAGCCATATACTGTCTATCTGCTGTCAACTGTTGCTTATTCCCACTGTAAATGAATCTTATAAGGTAGGTGACACCATTTTATCCCGCTGCTCATGTTATTCATCATTAGAAATAACTAGTGTTTATCATGATGCTGCCTGATAGTGGTTTTAATAATGATGATGAGGAGGAGGATGATTTGGGAACAGGCTGTTAAAAAGTGATACACATTTCATTATCTCTTAAACTGATGCTGTAATAATCTCGTAGCTCAGGGTTTGTTTGCATCACAAACGTCATTATTACCACACACAAATACACACACACACACACACACACACACACACACACTGACACCTGCCACTTCCCTCCTCCTCCTCCTCTCCATCATCATCATCTTGCTGTCTCTTCTGTCTTTCTCCCTTCCTTGATACAAACACCAGGCCACACTGACACATATCCTCTCTTATATTTGGATCTACACATGGAATAAAAGCAGGGTCTAGGCTGTCTTGAGGGTTTTTGGATGTGTTTCACAGGAGGAGGTCAAATGGAGCAGACCAGGGCTGCAACTGGCAATTATTCCATTACCAGTTAATGGGCTGATTGCTGCCTCGATTAGTCGAGTGTTTGGTGTGTGAAAGGACAGGAAACAGTACATAATGCCCATCACCAGTTCCCCAGAGCTCAGGGTGATATCTTTAAATCTGTTCTTCTTAACAATAGCCCAAAGATATCTGGTTTACACTGATGGAAAACAGAGAAAAGCAACAAATCCTAATGTCTGAGAAGGATTTGTGGTATTATATATTTGTTTTTGTTTGAAAAACAAGTGAAACAATTAATCGATTATCAACTCTTGAGCAGGCCACACCGATAACACCTTTTAAAACTGAATGTTTTCTGCTCGCCATAAGCAAAACCTCCTCAGCTCATATTTAAAATCAGATATATTAATGTGTGTAAAGTCTGGGTTCAACATGTTATAATGCTACAGACTGAGACGGTGGGAACATTATCATTATTGAATATAACACAGCTACAATTAAAATTAATCAATTAGTCAATCAAAATCAGTCAGCTTTTTTTGATAGTTGATTAATCGTTTCAGTCATTTTACATGCAAACATGTCAAATATTTCCTGGTTCCAGCTTCTTAAATGTCAGAATTAGCTGCTTTTCTTTTTCATTTATGACAGTAAATAAAGAGTCCTCAGGTTTTGGACTGTAGGTTGGATGAAGGAAACAATTTGAAGACATCACTCTGGGAAATTGTGATGAACATTTTTCACATTTTGGAAAAACTAATTGATTAACTGTGAAAATAATTATAATAATAATGACAATGTGAGTTGTCCTGCACAATTACGCAGCTGTCATACTTTAACTTCTTAAAGAACACAAGATAATTTGTGATTTAGTTTATTATTTTGCTAAAAAAATATTTAAATCCTTGCTTTGTTTTTGCTGTTTTTTTTCCTGCATTCACACCTTTACACTAGGGCTAAAACAATTCATTGATTAGTCAACTGACAGGAAGTTAATTGGCTACATTTTTGACAACTGAATTGTTGTTATAGTTTTTTAATCAAGAAAAAATGGCTTCTCGACTTCAAACTTTTCAGCTTTTCTGTGTTACAGACCATTTACCTACCATCTACCACATAAATGTCTTATTTTGTCTGCACCAAACATAACATTTGAAAACCTAGGAGGGCCAGTTTTCTTTTTTTTTATTTATAAATTTTGCATACTGAATAATTCACAGATTGATCAACAATGAAAGTAATTGCCTTTACATACCTCCTGTCAACAGCCTCATCATTTCACACTCCTATGTGCAGTGAAGACCTCTGGAATATACAGTAACAACTAATGGATATTTTAACTGTAGATCAATTCATTGTTTAGTCTTTTAAAAATCTGATAATGATTTTTGCCTGTTAAAATCACAAGTTGATGTCTTTAAATTACTTGTTTTGTCCGACCAGCTGTCTAAAACCCAAATACATTGAATTGATAGTGATATAACAAAGAGAAAAGCAGCATGTCTTCATGTTTAAAAAGCTGGAACCAGAGAATATTTGGCATTTTTCTTGATAAATGACGTAAATAATTATCATTAAAACTGATCTGATCAATTTTATGTCCATCGACTTATCAGTTATTTATCTTATTATTTCAGCTCCACTGAAATGGGGTTTTCCACTATCTCCCTATTATGTACTTGATATATTTAGATACACTGTGCTGGAGTTGCTTGACAATAAAACAGGCTGTAAGATTAATTCATGTTCACCATTAACTGGACTTAGGATGTGGTCTTCATGGTTCAATGAGACAATGTGAGCGTTCCTTCTGTCCGTCCTGCTGTTGTATGAGAAGAGTTATCATGATGTTTCCGCAGCTCTGCTTCCCTCTGTCCAGTTAGTGAGTCTCTCTGCCTGGCCTCTGGCCTGGTAATTATCAGCCAGCTTGATAAAGTCATTAATGACCCGGCCAAGCCTGCTGGGCCTGGCACTGACACACACACACACACACACACACCAAAAAGAGATTCAGCAGACAGAGTGAGGCCAGTGCTGAATACAGGGCGAGGAAGGCTTTTTTTTTGGGACAGGACAGTGTTTTTTTTGGGCTGGGTCAGTTAGTATTAATAACTCTGAATGAGTGTCACTCTAAAAACAGCTGCTTGAGGAACAGGAGGACGGTGCAGAGAAATTATGCATGTCTGTTGAGATATTTTTCCATCATTGTCTTTATTAGAGATGGATTTTTTTTTTGCCTTTTGCCACTCCTTCAGTTTTATCTCCTGATCCATCTGCAGATGGATCTGAAGTATCATATATATGATTTAAAAATGTTTGAAGCAGCTCATGTGGAGGAGAAGAACATCATGTTCTGCTGTTTCACACTGCTGCACAACCCCACAGAGATTCAAGGAGGACAGATTTAAGGGTAATATCACCCCACTTGGAATGAAACATCTTAAATTTCTGCAGGCAGAAACCTGAGGAGATGGCACACAAATACACAGCTACACATATACACACACATCAATGACGCTGTTAGGTGTGTAGATGAAAATACATTTGATTTTTTTTTTATACTTGAGTGGTGTTCCCTTTGATGGCTTCCTGTTTCTCATTCTGGGTTCCACCAATCTTAGAACAATGTGTGTGTGGGTGACTGTGTGTGCGAAGGAGACAGAGACATCGCTAAATCTAGGTCTCTTATGAAATCTGGCTCTGCAAGATGCAGCATAAAAATAGAGAGGGGTTGTGGTGTGTGTGTGTGTGTGTGTGTGTATGTGTGTGTTTTGTGTGTGTGTGTGTGTGTGTGTCTGCATGGACGTCTTTGTCCATTTGCCTTCCTGCATGTTAATTTAATCATGGAGAAGCAGAGAGGAGACATGGTTGGGGAGCAGCAGAGGGAAATGGAAGAGATGAGCAAAGAAGGATGAAAGAAACGAGGAGTTTTCTGGTGTGTGGAGAAAAAAAAAAGACAATCCCTGCTCAATGGTTTCCATGACAACAGTGACATCACTGATGGAGTGCTACCTTCGGAGCTGTTGTGTGTTTGTTTGGCTTTCTGTTCAAGAGAATAGATTTGACTTTACGTATATATCTGTGTGTTTACGTGTGTGTGTTTGTGTGAACATGCAGGCACATCTGTACATGTGAATTGTTAATGAAAGAGCTCATCAGGACAAACCTCTGTCGGTTCAGTCGATCCGTGGTTACCCACTGTTGCCAGGCAACAGCAGTCATGGCAACAAGTTGAAGCATGATCTAGCGTTGCTAAGCAAGAGGACAGGATGGGGTGAAATTTTATGAGCACCACTGAGATACAAATGGATGCAAATATTAAAGATGTTTCATAGTTTTAGGAATTCAAGAGGAAAACACATAAGAGTCCATATGAGGCCCTCGTGATTCACGCACACTCTGCTTTTAAGGACAGAAATAAATCATATTGTTGTATGTTTGTTTTATTTTGTATTTTTTAAATTATTTTAAGCTCTTCTTGTATGTACAGCTTCATTATTATATGTTGTCAAAACTAATATCTAATAGATAAACTCAAACTTGTTCATTTGTCATGATTACAGGTTTATGAACAACCGTGTTCCTCCTAACAAGAGATACCAGCCCACAGAATATGAGCATGCTGCCAACTGTGCCACGCATGCGGTGAATGCACACACACACACACACACACACACACACACCACAGAAGGTGATCGTTAACTCTCACACAGATGAAATGACACACTCAGAAGAAAGGAAAAAAACGCAGCAGCATTACATAACAGATTAATGACAAACACCAGATTATTTTTACACTACACCTACATCATGCAATTTATTTCAGTTTTTACTGCATGTTTGTTCGTTTGTCTGTATCTCATGTTTCATGTATGTTATGAATTCATTTAGTTATGGATAATCCCCAGCCTGCTCGGCAGCTCCGTGTTGCACTTCCAGTCGGAGGACCAATGGGAGCGGCTGTCAGCCTGGGTGTACGGGGCGGGGCTCAGCTCGCTCTTCATCATCTCCACCCTGTTCCACACTGTGGCCTGGAAGAAGAGCCACCTACGGTACACACACACACACACACACACAAAAACACACACACACACACACACACACACATGCACATTTCAACAGAATACTTGGACTGGAGTGTAATGCTGCAGATGATGAATATGGTTAAAAGATATAGTAGGACACCAAATACAGCCGTTTGCAAAGCCCCTTCTTTCACTGCAGAGACACACCAGCACAAAGATGTCTCCCCACACTGCAGATCTAAAACACACTGATGCTACATGTATAAACAGTGTCACTCAGTTGTCATGAGGCTGTTTGGTCTCTCTCTTCAGGTCTGTGGAGCACTGTTTCCACATGTGTGACAGGATGGTGATCTATTTCTTCATTGCTGCCTCCTACGCCCCTTGGTAAACACACAACCCAGCTAAATGTATGTATGAATGTGTGTATGTACAGTATTTGTAGTAATGTGTGCCTGTTCATGCGTTACCAGGCTGAACCTGCGGGAGCTGGGTCCCTGGGGGTGTCACATGCGCTGGCTGGTGTGGGTCATGGCCTCTTTTGGAACCACCTACGTCTTCTTCTTCCATGAAAGGTCAGTCCATGCATTCATATTTTACTTTTATTAATGTTGGATTGTCTCTCTGTTTATTAATCTAATCAATGTTCCTGCCGTGTGACAAAATAATCTCAACTCAAAGGTCCCCTTACCAGTGTTTTGTGAGTTCACTACTGTAGCACATAATCTTCATCAGCGAATGGAGCTGGCTCATTTTTACCCCAAAATGTAAAATATTGAAAGCTCTCTGTGTGGCAATTGTTTAGATGTGTTTAATGTAACTTTCATGCTCATTAATTATTGTCAAAACTGAAATGACAGTGACCTTAATATGTCCATAGAAACAACTTTACCACTTTCTCCATGATACACCTCTGGGCAAACAGATTTCCTTACTCAGAGAAATTGGGGCATGGCAATGTGCAGATTGCGAATAATGGGCATGTGCGTTTCAATTTAGACAGATTCTAATTCACAAACATACAGACAACAGTAAGAAAAAAATTGGCCGGTGTGCATGTGTCATGAATCTGATGGTAATTTTGTAAGCATGCTTTTTCTGTGTGCAAACTAAGAACATTTCTACACTCATATCAGTGAATTAAGCCCACTGTCAACAACCCTGTTTTCACAGTGAAGGCCTGTCAGTACCTTCACAATAAAATGCATTTATTTTGAAGCACATAAAGGAAGTGGTGAGGTACAAGTGGAAACTTTACAAGTTAGTTTAGCATGACAGGAAAACAAAACGATATTTAACATGGCTTGGCAGCTATTAACTGACAACAAATCTGCTTTCTAAGGTCAGTATCCGAAACAACCTAAGTGCAAAAAGTCAGTCCACAAGCACTGGTAGTCTTAACCTTAATCATCATTTAAAACAGTGTGGTGAGAACCCTCCTACTCTGAGTATAACATGTGAAGAGGAGGATAGAAAAAGGGAGATGAAGCAGCACACATGACATAACACGAGGACTGACAATGCTAACTACTCCCTCTCCACTGAGCAACAAATGGACAGCATCAGATGTCTGAACACCAGAACAAAAGTGGTCACAGCAAAGACTGTTAGGTAACTGACCAGGAGTCAGTGGCTGCCCAGAGTAAAATCAAGGAAATCTCCTCAACAGAGACAGGGCTTATGACCCTACCCCATAGATGACCTCTTGTAATCACTTGACAGGGGTTCTTTGCTAAGGTCATGTGAGACACAGTTGAAAGTGGATGGTTGAGTCGACCTTATGTTGTCCCATGTTTAACACTAATCTTTCATCCATGTTCCTCTCTGTGTCAGGTACAAGATCACAGAGCTCATCTGCTATACGGTGATGGGAGTTTTTCCTGCCTTGGTCATCCTCTCAATGGTGAGCACACTCATGTATGCCACATTTCAGCTTTGTGCTACTCAACTGAACTCACTCTTTTTTGGTTTTCCATCAGCAAAAGTTGTGGATAGTACCTGGTACTCTTTCCGGTACCGTCTCGGTCAAGGTTCAGTGTGAGCGTAGCGTAGTAGAAGGTGGAGTTAAAACACTGCAGAATGCAGACCATTGAGTGGTCAGAGAGAATTATCAATAGCGCTCAAACCCAAACTACTGGGGCATGTGCCCTATGTAGGCTTATTCTCTAGGAGCGGTTCAGGTTTGATTTTGACCCTTTGCTGCATGTCATCCACTCCGTCTTTCCCCCCTTTCCTTTCTGTTTTCAGCTATTTTTTTTAAGATTCTTTTTGGGCGTATTCCCTTTTTTCACTCATAGTACAGCTTCAGATACACAGGAAAGGAGGGAGAAAGGGGGGGGGATGACACGCAGCAAAGGGCCACAGGCTGGAATCAAACTCAGGCCGCTGCAGAGGCCTCAGCCCATGTGGAGTGCACACTCCACCAGGTGAGCCAGAGGTCGCCTCATCCTCAGCTATTCTATTGAACAAAGGAGAAAAAAAACCCCGGAATATCTTGGAAAGAAAAAATTGTCAAGCTACCATCAATAACAACTGCAATTTTTTAATTCACTCAAGCCAGATTAAAAAAAACATGGCAGCCTGCAAAACTATGACATTCCAGACGTCCGTCTGTTTGATTGGCAATGAAAGGATTTAGGGAGTGTTGCACTGAAGTTGATGTCAAGGTGGTTTTGAACAGCATCACTGTGGCCATCAGCTAAGAATCCCATCTACACTGAGGAGGCACTATCTGCAGTGGAAAATTAATTACAGAAAATAACCTGGTACCAAAAGTTAGTTGAGTCAAGACGAGTTGAGTTGATCGACGCAGTAGAGATAAGGCACTCGCCTTAGGTTTAGTCTTTGGGGTTTTGTCTTGTCCTCATTACGATGGCTTTAAAACTTAAACATAATGAAATGTTTGCTTCTTTGCAGCCGGAGCAGTCGGGGTTGTATGAGCTGCTTGTGGGCGGAGCCTGCTACTGTCTGGGGATGGTCTTTTTTAAAAGTGATGGCATCGTCCCATTCGCTCACGCCATTTGGCACCTATTTGTCGCTATGGGAGCAGCCATACACTACTATGCCATCTGGAAGTACCTCTATGCCCAGCCGCCTAGTCAGGTCCAGACCTCCAGATGACAACAGCGCTGACCTCACAGGAAGTAGCTCCTGCATTTGAGCAACTTCATGAAGATAATGTAAGCTGTGTCCTAATTCAGTGGCTACATCCTTTCAAAAGCAAGTGGGCTGAACCTCCTCCACAAATAAGACAGTGTAGATCACAGTAACAAAAACTAATGGTGCATTCAGGTGATCCTCGTTAGCTTGTAAATTAAAAAAATCTAATTAAATTAGAAGGTACAATGTTTACCGTGTTCACTATTTTAGTTTAGTGTGTTAGCATACTTATATTTCTAATTAGCACCAAATACAGCTGAGCCTGATGGGATTGTCATTATTTTTGCAGGAAATCAGCTCTGTCTGTACCACATTTTGTGATAATCCAACCAATGGTTGTTGAGATATTCAGTCTGGAACAGAGTGGTGGATCGTCTCACTGACTGACATTGCCATTTCTAAAGGAAGGCTGCTTGCATGGATCAAGAACCAGTAGTCAAACCGGGTACACAATAACTGAGTTTACAATACCAGGTAGGAACATCACGAGAACTTAGACTTTGATACCAAATCGATGCCAAAGTTCTGAAAACATGCGGTACTTGGTTTTCTCTGGTACTGTAGTTACGGGGGATGTAATTCTTTCAGAGGTGATGGGGCAGCATATACACCTACAAGTGTTCTAGTTTGCCTTTTAATACCAAATAAAGAAGAAGAATGACTACCAGTGTTAAAGAAGAACAACCTGTGGAAGATGGCCAATGAATTTTGTTAATTCTTTGCAGTGGGACCGCCAAGTATTTACACTACGCTACAAACACCAAGAGCGTGACGAGGCACTTACTGACAATTCTGCACGTTTAGTGTTTTTCTTCTGGTCGCCAAGAGTTGAAAGATGTTTAACTCTGGGTAAAATGCTGCATTTGTCACTGTCACTTTTTACTCAGCCATCCAATTACAACACTGTAGGCTTTATATTAATATATGGTTTCCAGCCAATAACATCTCACGAACCCACATAGACTAGTGTTTCTAGTTCAAGGTGGATCATCAGGGATTAACAGTAGAATTTATATTGAATTTAATTTAAATGTTTTTAGTAAAGGAGTGTATGTACGTGGAGTCTATTGTTTTGTTCTTGTTTGTTACTGTGGTATCAAACTGGGTATCGAGAGGCATGGAATTTCATTGGCATCGGTATCAACAACTAAATTCCTGGTTTTGTAATGTGCCTTGTACCAGTTTTGATGCTTGAGCTCAACACATGATGAACAATTACAACCAGTGTACTTGAGTAATTGTAAATGTATCCATGTTACTTCAGTTTATCTTCTAAGAGGTGATGAGGACACTTGAATGCACCATGGAGCAATTGTCCGGCATGCAGTAGATTGTAGGATACTGTGGTGAATACTGGAAATATTTCACCAGTTGTTTTTATCGAATGTGTCTAAAAAGAAGGCTGCGTTTGGAGGAAACATTGAGGCAGCCTCTCAGCGTGTTGTGAAAACTTCAAAGGAGGCAGCCCGTGAACTGGGACACAGCTTTTGTTTTTGTTTTTAGCAGTCCACTTTAGTTCAGTCTTATGTTATTTGGTTTTATTCCAATGATCAGGGGTCAAATTACTATTCTTGGAGATTTCTCTCTACGTGGTGCACGTCCAGATTCAGTGTTCAGAAGCTGAATTGAAGGCATTGTCTTATTGTCAAGGGGAGGACAATGTTTACAATTAGCTGACTTGACTATCATAATAAGTTTTAGGACATTATTTGAAGTATTATTATCATTATTAACAGATGGTTTTGGTTTGATCATATTTAGGAGGTTGTGACATCAGTAATTTACTATTCCAATTCAGAGCTCTAGATAGTATTATTACTGTTATTGTTACTAGCTGTGCTATCTACACTGTAGTACACTATATGGTTTAACAGCGGTTGCTTCAGTCAGTGATTTACTTGTGATTTCTAAATCAAGCATGACTGTAAGATGGTTTTCTTTTTGTTGAACATACAGATATTTATGGTTTTAGCCTCAGAGACTTTACTTGTGTGCTTCCACCTTTACCAGGCTCTACACAGTAGTTTATCAAAGCATAATTACTGAATTCTAATAGTTTACTGTTGTTGATTAGGTTTAGTAAGTGAAGATGTCATCAGTACGATTTATACAGTATATATATTTATTAATGACGTACAGTATATGTTGACCTCATCTATATTTTCTTCTATCGTACTTAAAGTATCAGCAGATTATCATCTTCATCTTAACGAGCGGGACCATTTGATAGAGTTTGTCAAAGCTACATGGTTGAAACTCAGAGGGGGAAAACCACTGTCTGATTCAGCACTGCCAGAAGACTGACTTACTGCCGTACCTGATAGCACACTACTACCATATACGTCTCACACTTGAAAGGAAACTGAAGCTATAGTATTGTTGAACAATCTGGCCCAATATTAAAGGAGCAGTGTGTAGGATTCATGGGATTTAGTGGCATTTAGCGTTGAGGATTGCAGGTTTTAACCAGCTGAAACTTCGTCTGGTTAGAATTAATTCAGTGTTCATTGGTCAGGGTTTTTTTAAAAGGAGCCGAATTATCTGCAGAGGTCTCTTTCTCTATGAAACAAATGGACCAGGTGATTAAAACACTGAGTAAAACAATTTCATGTTACAAATCAGTGTATCTCCGGTGTTATTTGGTGCATTGCAACGGCCGCTAGCCCAGCACATGCTAATGTGTGCTCACCTTTTTTACCCGATAGTTTAAGACTCAAATGTTCAGGAGGTTTTTATCAGAAGCCGAATTATCTGCAGGGGTCTCTACCTCTGCAAAACAAATGGACCCAGTGATTTAAACTGGGAAAAGCACTGAATAAGGCTGTTTCACGTTAAAAAACATAAGCGTTTCGTCAGGAAGGGGCTGCTTACTACAGTGGCTGAAGTGAAATTGCAAATGGCCCTAACTACAGCCAGTGTTTGGTTTGTCCATTCGTGGCTACAGTAGAAACATGGCGGTGCTCTATGTAGATATAAACGGCTCATTTCAAAGGTACACTAAAGAAAACATAATTAAAATTGTATTTCTGCCAATGTATCCCCCTAAATCCTACACACTGGACCTTTAAGGCATCTCAGGTGTGTGTGTGTGTGTGTGTGTGTGTGTGTGTATGAGTGCGTCTGCATGTGTGCGTGTGTATGTGTGTGTGTGTGTGTGTGTGTGTGTGTGCGCGTGTGCGTGTGTATACATGTATCCTATACTGTCCGACTCCCATGAATCCAAAGCCTGTAACCGGCTGAGTCTATGTTTACACGTGAACGCATGTACCTTGAACACATAAAAATTATATTTGAAATACGTACGTACTCTTCGTGTTAAGCTGTGGCACATGGTGTACTGGACGAGCTTGTGTTGTATGATAAATGTGGCTAGAGGACCAAAAGGTCGTACGGTGTAATACTCATAGGTGTAAAAGAATTTTTTAAAACCTCAGCTCCTGTTCAACATCTTTTCGCTGCTGCCTGTCTCTCAGGATTTGGTTCATTTGGGCTTAAAAGCCTGTGAAGCCACATTCAAGGACCACTAAAGCTGCTCCGGTTGTTCGGGTGCTGTCTGCGGCAAAGAAAATGATCAAATAGCTGTGAAGCTGCTTTCTTTAAAGCTGGCACCTCTCCATACAGCTTCTCTTGCTTACTCACATCCCCAAGTAGGGCAGCAGTCCCAAAAGTTTTCTGCAAGCTTTACAAATGGGTAATATTTATAAAGTAACCAAACAGGAGAGAGCTTTAAGGCAGATAGAAATTGATATATATGACCACTACAGATATTACATCAGCAGATGTGTTTTCAGATTACAATAAAGACTAGAAAGCATGCATTCATCAAAACTGCACAGCCTTCTAAATGTGCAGTAGAAATTTGCATTTAGAGTTGCATTAAAATACACTGTGATAAAACACATATGCATTTTCATTCAAGTAAGTGCAGCAGTTATAGAGAAAATGAGGAAGGCAACAATGACTTTATCTCACAATATAAAGAGGTCATTTTTTAAATTTACTGCATCCACATCAAAAACAATTATCTTGTTCCTTTCATGCTCAAACTTTACACTTTTATCCTGCAAACTAGCAGACAAACAAAATGATGAAACAAATAATATTTACAAAAGTTATTATAGAACAAATCTGCACATTTTTATTGAAGGGGCAGCTGTGCAGGACCGTCTCCTTGTACTGCATAAAGCCTCGTTTTCACCAAGCAGTTCGGTTCAGTTCAGTTCAGTTCGTTAAATGGTTATTTTTGTGTTGTCATCGTCAAAAGTTGTGGATTGTACCAACAAAACCATTCCATAATGTACCGTTTTTCATCAGCCCTTAGTTGAGGTACCTACTACACTAATTCGATACTAAAAAGTGGAGCTAGAAACTCTCCAGTCTGATGATTGGTCAATAGAGAATCAACACCTTGCTCTAACTACAGTAACCACTGTTCCTTTGGTGGCAAGTTTACAAAAGTTAACATGAGTCAACCATTACCCCTCGTTTCCACTTACGTAAAAGTACGTAGACGAGTCAACCTGAATTCCATTCATTCCTATGGGAATCTCTGTGATATCCGATGTGCCTGCAAAACTCCTCCCCTCTTCCTTCTGTAATATTTCAATCCGCACTTTGCCTCAATTACGTTTGGAAAATTGAACTTATGCGGTGGATTTCGAACAGACCGTATGACAGTGTGCTAGCTTAGCTAACAGGCTGCTAACTAGCTAAAAGGCTGTTTTCTTCAATTCAGTTGCCTGTGTTAAAGTGAGTTTGTATGATTAAAAAGAACTTGTTTATTGAACACATTGTGAATCTGAAAGAAATGCACTTCCTTGCGTTGGACACTGGAGGCATCATCCGTTTATTTATGGATTTACGGACACCAGTCATATTTGTAATTGGAAACGAGGTGTAACTATAAAATGAAGGGGTGTTTTGCGGCCTTTTCATTTTTACTAATTAACATTAGACTCAGAATAATTAATTTAATTCACTGTGCCATCCAGGGCTACTGCTGGCAGCTACTGGCAACTTTTGATGTAGGACATTTTCTTGCCCCGTTCCATAGACGATCAGCGATGTTTCATTGCATTGTTGGTGAAGAGGAAATACAGCGAGACGCTAGAAACAATCTAGTAATAACCCTGTCTACATTAAGAGCACTGTCTGCTGTGGAAACGCTTAACAGATCTCGGGTTTAGGTACATGTCTTTACCAAAACTGTCTGGTGAAAATGTGGCTTAACTGCCCCTGGTCAGGTCTTGGGGGTCTAAAATACACTTTTATCTCAAAACTTCAGAATGTTCATGCTTCAATATAACTACAACTTTTTTTAAATTACAACTTACCAAACTGCACATGAATGCATCATTATACTGTAGCGTATAGGTTGTAGGCTTCATTTCAACATTGGGTGGGGGGACATATATGAAAACGGGGGGTTTTTGTGCACCAAATTATGTTGTAAATGTCTTTAATTTGATCAAAATAATTCCTCTGCTACATTCATATGTTTATTGGAGACAGATGCACATGCTCTGCCTCCTGAAATCTACTATTTATGCTGCAGGATCCCAAAAGAAAATAACCTGGAACTAACACAAACCTTGATTATCACTGCTGACCATTTTGTTTTTTGGTCATTAGGTAGCGGTAATTTAATGTCAGAACAAATGTATTGTCACAGCTTGGAATAAAATTCTTAAGATATATTCTCAAATTTAAGAGTACCTTTCCACATTTGTACTCTAAATGTTTACTTGAGCCTCTGAGAAACACCAAATGATTGAGAGTTTACTGTTCTGGAGTACTCGGGGGTATTATAGCTTATTATAGGCAGTATTTTGACTCCACAGGCAGGTTTGGCGACGATAAGATGAAGTATTTGAGGGTTTGACGTGTGTCTTGTCTTGTCTTGGTTTTAATATCTGTCTCATTCAGACATACAGTGCCCACCTGACTTTGTATAGAGTTTTTTAAACTCTCCATGAAGCCTTCATGGACCCTCTGTACATTCTTTATAGATGCTCTGTGATTGTGGAGCTGCTGACTCTGTTCTCAGTGCTGCTGGTGTTTTCTTTCTGGTCGTACAAGACTGATTATATTATCTCATATTCTTTCTCTCTAGTTTTCATATTGTTTTTTTGTGTGTCTGTGGTGCTTTTGTGCTGTGATAAGCCTATATGATGCCAACAATGCTTTTATCTTTTCTATTTCTCTTGTAATAAAAAAGCTTTTTCATGCAGTATTTTCCTGGACTCAACATTTATAATGTTTCACCTCTTTACTTTTTGTCTACAGGAGCTGCTGAAGGCTGCAGCAGTTTACTGCTAACTAGTTCTTGTCATACAAAGATACGGAAAATTAAGTATAGCTAATTGGATGCTGTTCAAACATTCACACACTGTCTGTTTTGAATTAACCAAACCTTCATGTCAAGTATACAGAAGTAAATCAGCTGACAGGGCTGTATTCTGTTAGATTTAAGATCACATACCTCATATTTGTCAGTGGTTGTTAAAACGTTGCTGTTATTGATATGACACCATAGGAATTAAATCTATTATTTAAGGTAGTCATTCATCGGTTTCACATTTAATAAATATAACAGTAAAATGTTTTACATATGGTGTGTTTTATATATGGTGGTACTGAAAAGACTATAAATAATGGACAAAAAAGTAGGTCCTAATTATGAAAGATGAAGAGTAGTTAGTCACAATGTACCTGTAAATCTGTGTGTAAATATGAAATTATAGTTTTTACTTGGAATACACCATCAATTCAAAAATATTTTGTTACATCATAAATAGAGCACATTTTACATTAGTTGTGATGGATCCATCACAGATCTTTACTTTGACTTCCTCTATAGAACGCAATAGATTTATAAAGAAACATTTATCTATTTAGATGATCATAGTTTGCAAATTCATTCTGTAGCAATCCTTTGTTTTTTTCCTCCTTTGCAAAAACAAAACATTACCTCTGTTTAGGATCATTAGTTATAAAGCAAATAAAAATAATAATAATAAAAATAATAGGCAAACAAAAATACAATAAATACAAGTAAATTAACACATTTTTTTTCTACACACCCAATAATGGGATTAGGATTATCAATCAATCAATAAATAAAAACTAATAATAAAGTAAAATGAATGAATGAATGAATTAATTAATTAATTGAAATGTGTATAACATTAAATGCATATATGAGACATTATGAAATAAGTAATCATATGAATATTAAGACTTTTTATTTTCTAAGTAAAATGTTTATTTTTACATTTTATAATAATGACCTCATTGGATTATTTCACAGTTTCATTGTTATATTACTCATATTGAGTGTGCTTATTCACACGGATGTTTTTTATTTTATTTCTTTATTTTTTAGGTTTTCAACATTATACCACAACAAGTTTAAATAAGTTTTAATGCAGAGTTTGTGATTATGCTTTCTCACTTATGTCCAACATACAAGATAAATCTTTGCCACTAAGATATCTTAGGAATGAGCCCCATGTACACTGAAACCATTCTTATTTATCTTTGATTGTGTATGTATTTTTTCCCAAAGGAAAACACGGGTATTTCCTATATTTTTATTTTTTATTTAATTACACTGGTCATCAGAGTTCATGTAAAGCCAAGAGTGAAGCATGACTCACCCTCTGTGGGGACATGAACTGGAAACACACCTGTTTATTGAGATAAATTACATGACCCGGATGCAGACCGGTCAGATGCATCAAGTTCAAGATTATATTTTGTCGAGACAGTTGGAAGCTGAAAAATATTTTAAGTCTTTACTCTTAAAGAAGTGGATTGACAGAGAATTAATTTGTAATAATGACAAACATTCATAGGCTCCAGATATTCAATCATCAATGATTATAAAAAAACAATGGAAAAAAGAAAATTTGGACTGTTGGTCTGACAAAACAAGCGATCTGAAGAAGTCACCTTGACCTCTGAGAACCCTTCATGAACACTTCCAACTACTGTCTGTATAAATAAAATAATCAATTGATTAATAAGAAAAATAATAGATGGAAAATCAGTAAAGAAAATAGTTGTTAGCCTGTTGAGGAACAAAACATGTGCATTCAAAAAATAAATTTACATTCTCCAAAGAATTTTAAAATGAACCAATCCTGTTATGTGGTATATTAAACACGAGACATGAATATTAAATAATTATTATTAATATTTCAAAAACATTCTGATTTAAAGATTTAGTGGTTAATAATAAACCATTTGGATCCCATGTTGAGCCTGTGCCTCCGTGTTGTGCTCGTACCGCCGGTCTCCGCCAGGCGGCGGTGTCTCGGTCCACTCGGGTGTTGCCAGAGCAGGTGCGCCGAGGTGAGGCAGCGCGGAGAGTTCGGGTGTTTCCGTCGCGGCTCGGCAGTGAACCGCTGTGGATGTGGGAATGCGGTTGCCTGAGGCAGCAGCGGGCATTGCTGGACACTCGGCTGAGATGTGCGTACAGAAAGAGGAGCCCTCAGCGGTTGGCTGTCGTCCAAGTTAACGGGCTGTTTTGGGGATGAGGGTGGCAGCTGCGGACGGCTGGGTGTCGCTCGCTGGGGTCTTTTCCTCCCTTATTTTTCCGGGGATTTTCTGTCTTGTGGGGGAGAGGGAATGAGAGAGGAGCCAAGGAGGATTCCCCAGCACTATGGAGCCACGCATTGCAGGCAGCGTGAGTACCAACGCAACAGACACCCAGGAGAGCCCTCGGGGGACTGGGCTTGTCACTGCTGGAATCACACAACTTTTCCAGGATCTATTTTATTGACGGGCAGCCGCGCCACAGCTTTCACCACCCTCGCAGTTTAAACATTTCATTGTCATTGTTGTTGAGTGGTGTTCACGTGTCGAACACGCTAATTGATTATTCATTGTGTGTAATGAGCGCGACTACAATCACTAGACACACCTGCTGACGGTGAGAGGCCGGGGCTGGTAGCTTTTAGTGCCGCGCCTGACGACTCATCAGCGGATTAATTTCTGAGGATTTTCTCCTGCCTTTTGTTGCTACGGCGGTTGCTACTGACGACCACTGAGCCCAAAGTCGTAAACAGACGGACGGACAACAAATAAAGGGCAGACCCATTATAGTAGTCACAAGTTCTGCACAGTATCATGCAGCCTGTTTATTTGTGTCAAGTTTTCCTCAGCGCAGTCTTTATTTCTGACCTTCTGGCAGTCTAGACAAGGACAGGCTGCAAGTGAAAAGGTGGTGAAGTTGTAGTCTGTGTGACATGATTACCAAATGTAACACTACCTCCTGGGTCACTAAACGCACCCTACCAATGCAAAATTTAGGCCTCCGTCTCTCTCAGTTTCTTGTGTGGACGCTGGAGGGGTTTGTTGGTCCCAGGATTGAGTTAACTGCGGCCAAGTAGCCAGATTACAGTGGATTAGCAGGCATTTAAAATAGTCACGTTATCCCACCAGTGCCTGCAGAGTCAGCTACAACAACACCTTTTAGGCTGCCTGCCAAATATTTGCTGAAAGGAAATGATATACAGTGTGAGTGGATAACTGCACAAAGTTGCAATCAAAACAGACTGCATGAGGTGCTGCTCTCATCTGCTGATAGACCTGCTACACTGGTGAGAGGTCCTCTTATCGGTCATCAGAGTTCATGCAAAGCCAGGAACGAAGCGTGACTCACCCTCTGTGGGGACATGAACTGGAAACACACCTGTTTATTGAGATGCATTGCATGACCTGGATGCAGACAGGCACAGTGTGTCAGTTGAATCAAGTTCAAGATTAGATTTTCACAAGACATAAGGGAAACAGTGCAACACAGTCAGAAGCTGAAAAATATTTGATTTGAATATTTAAACAAACGGACTGACAGAGAATTAATTGGCAAAAATGGCACACATTTGTTGGCTCCATATTTCCAGTCATCAATATGATGATTTGCTACTTTTCCTTTTGTTTTGGCAGACAAAACAAGCAATCTGAAGAAGTCACCTTGACCTCTGAGAACCTTCCGGGAGCATTTTCAACTACATTATTTGTTTAAACGAAATGATTTAATTGATTAATCAGAAAAATAATAGATTGAATATCAGTAAAGAAAATAGTTTTTTGTTGAAAAACAAGATTTGTGCATTCAGAAAGCGCAAAGAAGTCTTACATTTTCCAAAGAATTTTAAAATGAGTCTTTATTCTTTACTCAGGATCTGCAGGTCCACATAAAATGTGCAAGCAAGACAAGACATCAACTTATCACATTGCAGACAGTTTATAACATACATACATTTAGATAAAACCCAAACAATAGACAGCAGTTCTCACACATTTACAGTGTCATCACATTAGTAGATCTTTAGATCGTAGATTGAATCCTGTTATGTGGTATATTAAACTCTGGACTTGAGTGTTATATATTCCCATTGTTGATAAAAATCAAAAGACATTTTGATTTAAAGATTTAGTGGTGTGTCCTAAGATAAGATGTGCCCAGTGAGCTCAAAGTCTAAAGTCAAAGGCTAGTGTTTGAATATATGATTCAGTCAGGAACACTTTGGTCAAAGAAAACTTCCATTTGCAGTATTATATTCGGCGGTATGGCTCTGTCCTGGGGCCTCTCTGCCTTTCCTCGAGTATACCCAGAAAGCCTCTTCCACATGCCTACGTGGAAAGCCATAAGGCAGAGAGAGCACACCTCTCTGCCCTTCCATGTGCAAATGAGGAAAGCCTGAGGCAGAGAGAGCAAACCTCCCTGCCCTTCCATGCGCCTACATGGAAAGCCTAAGGCAGGAGAGCAGCAGCAAAGACCCCTGGGAACAGAACAGAGCAGCATCAATGACAAACAGAAATGACATTGATAAGTCAGACACAGCATGAAAATGAGGAGCTGGGGTGGAGACGGGTTGCAAAGCAGCTTGCAGAGGAAGCAGCAACAGTAGGCAGGCCAGAGCAGTTTAAATAGGGTGCCCTGAATGAGATTCGCCAGTTGGATGCATAGAAAGGAATCATGTGATCTATCAGCTGACTCCCTTTTATCAATCAGCTGCTCCATCAGTTGATTGGCTGTTTGAGATCAACTGATGTAGCTGGGATGTGAGCTGAGCTTGATGTCGTGTCCTACCTGAACTAATGCTATGCTCAATTTTTTATCAATAATGGTTTCTATACAAAAATTCGCCATCCGCCTTACATTGTCCACGCCCAGAACTCAGTTAAAAATGTCTTTGACTGACAATTATGTGATGTTGATTTGCAGTTTTGACTCTGGTGAGAAAACAGATTAGTTATGTCAAGAAATCATTAAAAAGCTAAAAGCCACAGTGATATCTGAATCTCAGAGGATCTGGAAACCAAGTTAACCTCAGTGATCCATTCGTCAGCATGAACTCCTCAGTGTGGCTATAAACTGAAATAAACATCGTCTTTATTCTTTGCTCCTCCAGTGTGAAAGGTGACAGTGACATGAAAAGTATCTGACCCTCAACTGTAAACCTTTACCTGGTGCTGCTGCACGTCAGAGCGACAACACGTAACAGCATCAAGGTACTCACCAGATGCGCGCGCACACACACACACACACACACACACACATTTTTGTTTTTAATCATTGTCTGTTTATGGTGAATGCATTTTGTATAATAGATTTAGGGAAGATTTTCTTTACCTTCCAGATCTACAATGTTTCACAAGTAAGTGTAAGATGTACCCTTGAGTCCTTTTACGCATGGACTTCTTGCCTTTGAGTGTGTGTGTGTGTGTGTGTGTGTGTGTGTGTGTGTGAATATGTGAATCCTTTACGATGGATTCAAATAAAACATTTAAAATGTATTTCCTTGCTCACCAGTTGTGGAGTTTGTGAAGCCAACAGCAGCATCATGTTCTACGGTTCTTCCTCTGGGGCCAGTATGTCCCTGCCGTCCAAGAGCCGCCTGAAACGCCAGAGCAGGACCTTCACACAGGTACACACAAACACACACAGACAAACCTACACACTGCCGTTTTGGTCATTCAATCTCAAGAGACCACCCAAGTTAAATAAAGGTCAAAATAAATGATGAAAACAAAGACACTCTGGCAAACATCAGTACAGTTTTAGTGAAGTGCTTGACTCTGCACTATTTCTAACAATACCTTTACCTCAAAGGTTAAGGTTACCCAAATTACAAATTAAAGCAAAAACAGGTTTCTCACTTGTCTCTACTGGTATCCAGACACGTAGATATTTTCAGCTTTACTTACTGAGGTTTTGAAATGTCCAGTCCCCCCCACTAGGATTTCACAGGCTTTTTTGTGATTGTTTCGTCCAGAGATGCGTGATGTCACAGCAGCTTTTCTAAAACATCACTATGCATGTTGCAATTTTTTTAGGCCTTTGCAATGAAATTGCAGGAGCAAATGAAAATTGCAAAAGTTGTGATGCTCCTTTGGATTCGGAGCTCATTACCATGAGCACTCAGTGTTTCCCACAGAATTAGATTCTATGTGATGGTGTGACAGTTAGCCCTGTCACTGTGTGTGTGACTTCTGGCACAGGTGCAACAGTCGTCTCATGATAAAGACGGGGTAAGGAATGCTCTGAAATTAAATTAAATGAGATTTTACCTGTTTTAAAAAGTAAAATTTGTGGTAAAGTTGCAATGACTGGACTAAATTGCAAAGTTGCCCAGACTTCATGGTGATTGGCAAAATTTGCATTAATTTGCAATCGCAATATCGCAACATCCTGGAGGAACTGATTATCTAAAATTGTCTATTCAATAATAGTGTCTCTGGAGAGACTCCTTGACGATCAATTTTTAGCCACTAGCTCGGAGCATGATTCTTAAAGATGGCAATGTTACTGATATATCACAGTATTGACTGGATGGAGTGGCTCAACATTTTGTAAAGACATTTATGATCTCCAGAGAATGAAGCATACTGACTTCTGTGATCCTCTTATGTTTTCTCTAGTGTCGCGATGAGTTTCACAACTGTGGTTTTGAGTGAAATGTCTCAGCAGCTATTTGATGTATTATCATGACATTTGGTTCATACAGTGCATTCAGTATTGTTTGTCTGTTCACCAGGTCCTGTACCGCACTCTGAGTTACAGAGACCGTGTCCCGGTAGAAACTGGAACAAACACTCGTGGGGACCGGCGCTCGACTACTGAACCCCCAGAGCGGCCGGCAGACGATCCAGCTGAACTCTCCACGCAGAGCTCAGCCCCCGGGGTGCTGAAGATCTTTGGAGATGAAATTTGTGCCGGTGCCAACTACAAGAGCGTCCTGGCCACACCGCGCTCCAGTGCACAGGAGCTGGTCAAAGAGGCACTCGAGCGTTACTCTCTCAACAAGAACGCTGCCCACTCTTACGTCCTGTGCGATGTGATCGGGCGTTTGGAGGGGGGTGGCGGGATAGGAGGAGGGGGATGGCGAACCGAGTGCCTGCGTGCGCTTGGGGACAATGAAAAGCCGCTGTTGCTTCAAGAGCTGTGGAAACCCAGAGAGGGACACGCTCGCCGGTTTGAGCTGCGCAGGAGAGCAGAGGTGGAGGAATTCAACGCCAAGGATAAGGACACCATCACTGCTGGTGAGGACACACACAGTGACAAACACACACATGTAGATAGACAGGTACACACAGAGACACACACAAACACACACACAGCAGCTGGTCTAATTCCCTTCCTTTCTTGACATGTCAAACTCAGCAGAAAAGCACAGCTCGTTACCTCTTCTGCAGTGTGTGTGTGTGTATGTGTGTGTGTGTGTGTGTGTGTGTAGATGCAGAATAAGAGCTTTCGTCACACTTATTATCCTGAAGAGAGGATATTGTTCCTGGGTGATAAGGGTTTCATTTGGGTTTTTGGAAACACACACACACTTGCATGTGTAAATAAGCACTTAAAGAAAAGCACACACAACTGCACACACACAGTGGAAATGCATGGACAGCTGGTCGATTGATTGAGTGAAAGCTGAATCCTTTGCGGCGGGAGGTGTGGATGGGTGTGGGCACTCGAGTGTTTTTATGAATGACACATTTCTAATACAGATGCATATCAAGTACCAGCACTAAGCTGGACTGAGTCACACCTGAACTGTGCACACTCAGGTGATAGTACAGTTTCCAGGAGAGATTCACGAACTCTGCAGTCAGAGCTCAATAGATAATTTGTAAATAATTTGCATAAACTTGTATAACTGCTGTTTATGACTTTACATCCGCAATGCAGTAATATGAATCTGTGCCCGTGTGAATGTGTGGGTCTGTTGGAACCACCAGGTGACCTTTACATAGATTGGTTTACTGATGGATGAAAAGTTTGCCATTTACACACACACATGCACACGCTCACCCGTTACGTTGAAGACATTTATCAACACCTAGACAATAGTGTTCAGAGAGTTAAGAGCAAGTATTTTCAGCCTCACAGTCACACATTGCACTTTGCAGCCACACTAACATTTCTCATGAAGCATGCCAGGGTTTACTGGTTGCTATGTCAACTTGTGCAGCAGCCAGAGAGTCAGTCAACAATCTTGTTTTAATGTTGAACAGTGCAGTTGTTGTACACGTGTCATACAGGACACAAGACAATATTGATTAATATAGTAAAAGCCATGAAAAAGGATAAGGTTGGTGTTATTTTATGTTTTTCTTGTGGCCATTAATTCCCATGAAAAGACCAAAACCTGTCAGACCATTTCTCAAGGCTGTTTGACTTTTCTGCTTTGTCTGTTTCACAAATAATGAAGTTTAGTTTTTTAAAAAAAAGGCTGTTGAGTGCCTGTTTTTGTGCACATATGTGGCATATTAAAGGTCCAGTGTGTAGGATTTAGGGGCATCTATTGGCAAAAATGGCATATAATATTCGTAACTCTTAGGGCCAGGGGAAAAAATTGATACAGGGTAGTATCACAGTATTTTTGTGTGGCAACATTGTATCATCACACAGCACCAACTGTCTATTTTATATTATATGAATTATTAATATTACAAATCCAAATTAAACTTTAGCTAGCTTTCTAGAATAATATAATGAATTGCTTTTTCAGTTCACAAGATACATTTTGCTGCTGAAAAAAAATGATATAAGTTTTCCTCTGGTGACATTATTTGCAGTTGAAAAAAGGTAATAATTTGCTATATATTGCAACATATTTTATTGCAATACATATCGCAATATGTTTAAAATCTCAATAATATTGTCTCATGACTTAAATATCATGATAATATCATCTCGTGGATTCTCTGGTGATTCCCATAACTATGTTTTCATTAGTTTATAGTCATCTTAAACTAAGAATCATTGTCTTTTCGTTACCTCAGAATGAGCTGTTTATATCTAATATCTACCAAACACTGGCTCTAGATAGGGCCATTCGAGCTTTTACTTCGGCCACTATATTATCACCAAGTCGCTGTTGAAGTGATGCGCAAACGCATGTTAACGTAGTTATGTAGTGACAGGATTGTGTGTGGCTGCTATTTGCCGAAGAGCAACTCAATTGAACATCATCTAAAGTTTATATTTGGTCAAAAAAAACCTATGTTTTTTATCAGTGTTTCGCCACCTCATTGCATCCTCTTGGGCGCTGCAATGCACATTCAGCAAGTAAAGTTTCAGCTAGCTAAGCTAAGTAAAACAATACCACAGCTAGAAACAAAAACATATGATTGGTTGATGCTTCACTTTGTCATTGGAGTGCTGCAAAAGTTGAGACCAGCTCAGCTTTGATTTGTAGCAGGTTATACCTGTCTGCAGACACATGTTGGGTGTCAGTTTGTACCTTCATGTCTCTCAGAGGTAGAGTGGGTCGTTCACTGATCGGAGGATCAGCGACTCAATCTCCAGCTCTTCCAGTCTACATGTCGAAGTATAACTGAGCAAGATACTGAACCCCAAATTGCTCCCGATGGCTGTTCCATCGGTGTGTGAGTGTGTTTAGTGAATAGCAGGTGTCACCTTGAATCTATGAATGTGTTTGTGAATGGGTGAATGTGACTCGTAATGTAAAAAGCGCTTTGATTGGTCAGATGACTAGTAAGGTGCTATACAAGTGCAGGTCCATTTACTGGCATCCATTGAAAATGAATTGTAGCTTGTTGCTGTGTCGCTCGTAGTGTGAACACGGCATAAATGCTGCACACTGGACCTTTAAATGTGCTCACTTTCCTGCATGCAGCGGGTCCCTTGTTTTGTGTTTTATCGTTGGGGAGCATCTACCCACTGTTTCCTGTGGATGCTTAAAAAAGGTTGGGTAATTTCCTACAACAGCTGGTTACTGTAGTTTTTAGCAAATTTTACCCAAAAAACAATTGAGTAGAGCTTTTGGTGGTGAATATTTTCCATCATGGATTAATACATGTTTTGTGTGCTAGTGAGTGTTTTCAGCAGGACAGTGTGTGGTGAATTGACTCAAAATAAACTGCAGTGGTCATTGTAATAAAGAAACATGTTACTCAGTGCAGCAGCGTGGCTCACTGATGTCTTTTAAAAACATCAATGAGGCTACTGGCACAGAGAAATAAGCCACCACATCAGGCTTTGGCAACACAGACAGTTCATAGGACCAATTTGTTGTTGGTTTAGGTGTTTTCATTGATTTGGATTTGTTTACAGTAAGAAAATTAAAGATTACTACCAACCTTCTCCTTTTAAAAGCATTTCAGTTACGATTGCGCAACGTGTCTGAAATAAAGCAAAAAGCAAAGAATGCTTTCTGGGGTAATACGTATTAATACACATATTTTCATCTCCACACTAACCTTTTCTCTTTTGTGTTATAGTGTTTAGAAAACTCACACATCCCGGAGTCTCCCTCTCTTCTCTGTCCTTTACTTGTCTTTTTTTTTTCTCCCCTGGTATATGTGTGAGCGAGCATGCACATGTGTGAATTATGTGTATTGTTACACACACTTTTTAACTACAATGAGATAACACTTTAAAGGTACGGTAGGATTTTCATCAATTACATCACAGCCAAATGAACTGTATTGTCAACCTTCAGTGATACAACCAACATTCACAATTCTGCTGGCTTCATTTATTATACAAGACAAAAAACCCAAATTAAAGCACTACGCAGACTACAGGCGCTATAGTTTATAACGAAAATATGCAGTCTTACTAATTTGACAGTGATATTTTAGAGGGGAAAATCCAGTACCTCATACCTTTAACTGTATCTCTCCTTACTAACTGCTGATGCGACTCACTAGAAGCACCACAGGCTCTGTTTTGCTTCACAGTGCATGCGTGTCTTGTTGTGTGCGGATGGTGTTTGTGTATATGGGGGTTGTTCTGTGCTTGGTGTCTCGGTGAGGGGGTGTTTTCTCAGCCTCCTCCCCGCCTCCCTAACCTCTCCCACCCTGCTGTAGGGCCCAAAACCTCCCAATTCCTGGCGGCTCTAATGGGTCGGTCCGGGCTGAGCAAACACAGGAGCTCCCCCCTGCGGTGTGGTCGAGCGGTACAGTCCAGCTCTAAAGGTGGGGACTGGCCTCAGGTAGGGTGGCTGTCAGTCATTGCCATGGAGACCACCTCTACCTGCGTTGTCACCAGCGCCACCCCCATTGCCAGTGATTCAACCGGTGTGAATGTGTGTGTGCAGAGCCATCGCATGGCCTCAGATTCCTCAAATTCAAGTCATGGGGAGCTGCTCAGCTCACCTTTCATCAGGTTCAGTGTCGTCAGCTACATGTGCTGCTCCATCCAGCACCATTTACTCCATCTGACTGGTTTGTTTTACTTAGTTTCCACTCAGCTCACACATGACTGTTATGCACCTATGCAGTGTACTGTACCCAGACTTCACTCATGAGTCAAACATACATACTAACAATGCACAAGTACACTGTCTTATTTTCCACTCTTTACTCTCTTTTCCCTCTACATACTCAACCTCTCTGTCTTCCTGCTCTGCCTCCTCCTTGTTCTCCTTTTTATTATTCTCCATCTGTTCTCCCTCTTGCCCTTTCCCTCCTTGTTTCTCTCTCTCACTCCTCCTATCTGCCTCCTTGTAGATATTAATGCTCAGGCTCGTAAGCTCCAGAGGAACAGGGCAAAAGGGACTCTGACCCTGCCCCGGTCCAGCAACTCATCCTTCTGCCGCAGCCTCAGTGAGACCAGCCTCAACCAGGTGGGGCCTCACACTGAAGCTCAGTCAGGATAATTGATTGTTATTATTTATGGAACTGTTGCTGACCTGCCTGAAATCCTGAATGCATCTGTGTTTGTCTGTGCTTGTGTCTGCAGCTGGGTGTCGGAGATGAGCCCAAGCGTTATTACTCCACCCTGCCAGGGCCCTTAAGGGGTAGAGAACGTGAGGTGGCCTCCAGTGGCCGGAGGAAAGAGGAGGGGAGTCAGGGAGGAGGAGGGGTGAGGCACTCGCTTTACCAGTCCCCACACCTCCTGCTGCTACAGGGATACAACCGGCAGGTTAGTACAAGGAAAAAGTTCACATGTTGTGTCAGAGATGCTCAGTATATCTGATCATGTGATGTTTATTGTGTTTTAAGGACTGCTTAGTGTACTTGCTGAACAGAGAGCAGCACACAGTCGGTCAGGAGACTCCGTCAGCTCGCCCCAACATCTGCCTCTTCTCTCCTGACATCCTGCCTCTCCACTGCCGCCTGCGCCGAGTCCCCGCACCCCGTCGTCATGCCAACAATAACAAGGGAGAGGAGCCGGCGGAGAGCCAGCGGTCCTGTGTTGCTGTTGAGCCTGTGCTCCACGCCACAGTTCTGGTGAACTTTTCCCGCTGCGAGCGCTCCACCACGCTGCGACACGGTGACCTCCTCTCCTTTGGAGCGCATTACATCTTCTTGTACAAGGACCCCGCGGGCGCTAAGCCTTTGCCTGCTCAGACCTTGGCACGCCTTAGGTCCCTGGGGCAGCTTTACGATGCAGGGGTGGAGGAGGGAGAGGGCGGCACTCAGACTTGTAAGATGTGTGGTTCTGTGCTGAAGGACAGAGCGGTACAGGCGTTGAGTGTTCCTGCAATCAGACGCAGCTTCAAACCTCACCTGGTAAAACCCCGCTGTGGGGGGACAGCGACAGGAGCACCCCTTAGTGTGTCAGGAGGGGAAGGAGGAGGAGGAGGAGGAGGAGGAGGAGGAAGAGGAGGAGGTCAGAAAAGAAGGCTACAGCTGGAGTTTGACCAGGCTCATGAAGACCAGCTATTGAACAGGATTGTGTCTCTCATAGAACCTGGAGGTCTGTGCTCTAATTTACAATGTGATAGAGAATATAAGGGCCTGTTTACACCTGGTATTAACATGCGTCTTGGGTGATCTGATCACAGGTGGACAGCTCTAAGACTGTCTGCTCACACTTGGCATCAGAGTACATCTTTACATGCGTCTTGAGTGACTGCTAGTGATCGGATCTCACTTCCCTGTTCTATATGCAAATAAACATGTGAATCATTTCCATTTGCAAAGACCAAATGTGTTGTTGTGCTACAGTGGCGGGAGGTTTGTCGGGCTATATGCACACCTACAACCTTTACTATCTAAAATAAGTTAAATCTTATTGAATTGTACAACCCAAAAGCGGCTAACTGTTGTCATTCGGCATCAATTGGCTAACGTTATCAACGGTTATTAATTGGTTTAATGACAGAATCGAGCTATTTTAGTGTTGGTGTAAATTAGTTGGGGCTGTTTACAGTAACAGCTGCCGCTGTGTCAGCTCTTTCAAACTGGGCAGACGCTGAACTGCAGGTTCACTAGGAGGACAGCTGCTCCGGACAGCAGAAAGTTTTCTTATCTGGTGGAACGTCAGATGAGCAAAGACGTCACCTGAGTAAGTGGTTGTTCATTGTGGCCCAAGTCAAATTAACGTACACCATGCTCAAAGAATGTGCCCATATGCGATCCAGACCACCTACGAATGTGGTCTGACTGGATCTCAAGACGCCTTTAGGATGCATTCTGCACATTCACACCTGTTCTTCGAGCTGTCCACTTGTGATCTGATCACTCAGGACGCATGTTATTATCAGGTGTAAACATGGCCTATGCTGTCAGTTTCATGTATACCGAGCAATTTTTTTACATCGTGGGATATTTTGTAACACAAATATTTCACCAAAATGACAAACAAATCTGTCTCACCCTTTGTGTGGTTTCTGCCTGTACACTTAGTTTTATTTAAGTTGTCCAGCTTTTGACAAATCTTTCATTCAGCATTCACCCCAGTATAGTGGAGGTGAATGGTATTTAATTAATGGTGCTCAAAGCATTGGAAAGTTCTTTTTTGTTGTTGTTACATTTAAATTCATCTGGGAAGATTAGATGCAGAACAACAACAGAGAGGCTAGAATGTCAATAACACATACACAGGTACAGTTCAGTACTGTTGGTATCAGAGTATTGAAACAAACACCGTTAAACACTGTCTTTCCTGAGAGACACTGACCTATTTTATCCAGTATTTACACTCTTGGTTTTCTGCAGTCGCAGCTCATTTATAGGAGGAAGTGTCCGTAAAAAGCAACTTCCCTCTCCAGAATCAGTGCCCGTCTTACTCCTGATAATCCACACACCTCATTGTCAGCTGTTTTCATACGGTCTGTTTCTGAGCCTGAAAGTAGTTCAAGTTAATTCTTTTTTCTTCTGTGACCTACGTGATAATATAGACACCACTAGAGGTAAATGAGAAAATATATTGTTTCGTAATGAAATGACCCTTTAAACTCCCTCTCAGGAGACGACCACAAACTGACGCCTGCCTACCTGCTGTGTCTGTGCATACAACACTCTGCCTCAACCTTCCCACCTGGGAGCTTTGGAAAACTGCTGCTCAAGATTGTCAGACGAATCCAGACCATCGCATGGGTCAGTGTCTGCCTGTCTCTCTGTGTGCCTGTCTGTCTGTCTGTCTAACTGTGTCCCTCTGTCTCCCTGTCTGTCTCTGTGGCACTTTGGTCTCTGCTTAAGATGACCTCATGTGGAAAGAAACTGGTCAGCCATGTCAGGTTGGGTTAATGGTCAAACAGGGTTGCATATCATGTTTGTACTGTGTTACACATGCACACACAATAATCCGTTCTGTCTACACTATGAATTGTCTCCATAGCAACTACTTCCACCATAAAAAGTCATCCACAAAATGATTTAATCAAGCAAAAAAAAGTGAAATATTTGTCGGCTCCAGATTCTCAAATGAATGATAAATAAAAATATTTGATACACCAGTATTTCATGTTTCCATTTAACAAAAGGCAAGGCTTCAGGGATGACGACTTACAGACAGGGCTGAGCATCTTTTTATTGTATTTTGTGTTTTCGATTCGGGTTCGTACATGCACTGTTGTAGGCTACTATTGTAGGAACGTTACATTTGTTGTAATGGAAAAACTGCTATTTAGCAAGCTAACTAAGCTAACCGCTTGCACCTACCTGTCCAAAAAAACCTCCATGTGGCTATTCATACTCTCCGTCAGTGCCTGACAGTGACTGTGAAAGCTAACCATAGATTCACTCTGTCCGCTTGCTGTTTTGTCTTGCTATATATGCTTTTCTATGCGCTGTGTCCAGGAGTTTTATTGCTTCCTCTTGGATGCAAGCTGCTTACGATGTTACACCTGGTCATTTTATGCGGTCCTGTTGCGCTCTGTCTCTATTGGCTGGGGGCTACACAGCCAGAAACATCGTAAAAACTGCAAAATAAGGAGGAAATTAGAAATTACAGACAGAGGGCAGAGTCTCCACAGAAAAATACATCACCACACACTTCAGTGAGTCAGAAGTGATGATTGAGCAGGATTATTTCTGTATCACTACACTTTTTTTTTTTTTAAGGAAAACCCTGATTAGAATACCTTTGAAAAAAATATTGAATCTAATTAAGAGTCTCACCAATCTTTCGCCGCCAACTTAGATACTGCACAGTTTTTTATATTTCTGTATTGAGATTTGAGCCCTACTAACTTTTGACAAGTGTGTCTTAAACTTTAGAAATAAGCAGAATGTTGAATCTAGTGGTCGATGCTGATTCTCTGTTGATTGATATCATGGAATCAGAAAGGTCATTGGCTTTAGCTTGTCATGTTTTTTTAAATTGAACTGTATTATTATTTGAATGTCATAAAAGATACATTTAAAAGATCGTGCATATCAGGATCTTCTCCAGGAAATTTAGTGGAGGTCATAAGAAGCCCAGATCCTGATGCATCAGTTAAGTCAGGAGATGATGGCCTGAACAAGAGCCACACTCTTAAGATGTATGGAATTTACTCTGTGCAGTGGCATCTCTTGTCTTCTGTGTTGTACAGTATCTTTATAAGAATGTATAAACCTTTGATATAACGGAGGTGGTGTCAGATGAGGTGGTCTCTGCTATAAAACATTGCGGGAAACCCTGAATATGGTGCAGCCTACTGTGTTTAATACAAAGGGTTGTATGTTTCATATTGAAATGGGTGTTACCAAAAAAAAGGGGAGGAGGTGGGGGTCATCTTGTAAACAGAGTAAGCCTCGATTCAGTCCAGTGGGGCACAAATTATCATTGTGCGTCAGTGTGAGTGTGTAGGTTCTGTAAATATGATAGTGGCATTTCTTTCTGCAGGTTAGTGATAGCGTCATTAAGTGTGGGTCTCCTACACACATCCTAAAAGTTTAATGAGCACTTAATTGCTGTGTGTGTGTGTGTGTGTGTGTGTTGCAGGAGAAGACAAAGGAGCTGGCTCAGAAGCAAGCTCAGCAGTGAGTATCGCTTTCCAACTGAAAGAGAGCATGTGTGCTCATGTACCGTTTTTGTGATATGTACCATGTCAGTGTGTTCAGTATGTTAGTATGTCTACCAAACTGTGCTTAACACTATACTCATTGTGTGTGTGTTTGTGTGTGCTTGTGTATGTAGCCAGGACCCGGCCTCCCTGTCTCTCCTTAGTATCTCAGACTTAATACCAGACCTGCAAACCATCTTCTTCTGGATGTCCAACTCCATCGAGATCCTCTACTTCATACAGCAACGAGCGCCAGCGTACACACACAGCATAGAGACACTGCAAGGTACACACACACACACACACACGCACACACAAAGCATCTGAAGGATGAGTGTGGAAACAACTTGGCTGAAGAGTCATTACTCACACTGACATACAGTAGACACTAATACAGCTGCATCTCTCCCTCCCTCTCAGCATATATATATCTCTTAAGTGTGTTTCTATCTCTGTCATCTCTGTCTAGGGTCAAAGGAGTCGTTGCTATCGGCGACCATATCAGCCAATGAGGAGGCAATGACTATCTTGGAAGAAGTGATCATGTACACTTTCCAGCAATGTGTCTACTATATCACCAAGGTAATCTGTCACCGCGGCAACGCTGCCATCTTCTTAATGAGCAAGATATCTTTTATCATGTTTTTTTTTTTTTTTTTTTTTAAAAACGGGCTAGATGAATAATAACAGACAGTCAATCACACAGAACACCTGAAGTCATCACACACACACACACACGCGCGCACACACACACACACACACACACACACACACACACACACACAATGACTAGATGAGGTTAGAATATGAATAAGTTAGAGGTTATTTTGCAATCTTTGATCACCGCCATCATAACACATGTCTATGTGTGTGTGTGTGTGTGTGTGTGTGTGTGTGTGTGTGTGTGTGTGTCCAGGCTCTTTATGTAGTGTTACCAGGTTTGTTGGACTGTAATCCATTCCCAGTCGACAGCTCTGAGCCTTGCTGGAAAGGAGGTGTAGGGTTTCCTGAACCTGTGCGCAGGGTCTTGCAGGTAAGCACACGTATTGTATCACGATACAGTTAAAGTGGTCAGGATCATGAAAATTTAACTGATTATTAATTGTCTTATTGTGCCAGAAATGAATAATAAAGAGCCCACCTGACATGTTTTAAGCCTTACATGGTTTACCCACAAAAAGGTAAAAAAAATTAACTGTTTAAATATTCTTAGAATTGCGTCTATTCCTCCTCCCTCATTAAAAAAATCCAATATCTACAAGTATACAAATATTATTCATTTCAAAAATGTAACTTCTCCACACAAAATGTCTCCAATTTAACTGAAAAGTCAGTTCTTGGTGTGTGAAGTTTCCACATCAAATGTGTAAGCTGGATACTGAGCCATGATGTGCCTTCAAACTAGTTGTGATGTCAGAAATTCATGCTCTAATATAAATGTCTTAAACTGATACTGTGGTTGTGGTCTTTTCTTGATAAAAACAGAGGTTCTACATACATTCAGTGTTTCTTACTAAAACATATTGTGTTTGTCTTGAGGTCAAACAAATGTGATAAATACATTTCTTTCCTCTTGAAATATTTGCAAAGCTGATTCTTTAAATAATTTGAAATCCTGTATTGTTTTTAATCCATGTTTCACAGCTCCTCTTGTTCATTGCCTTTGCTGGCACATATCTGTACATCTTGGCACCTTTAGATCAGGGGAATAGGAATGCACTCACATGTACGCAAGTCAAACAAAACAGGGACCCAACATAAAAGACAAATGTACTGTAACACCTCTGGAGGTCAGAAACTCTGCACACTGAAGGTCAAACATCCATGTGAAGGGGGAGTTTAATGTAACAACAAAATTGTCAATATAGTTGATGAATATGAAGTAGTGAAAGCAAACGCCTCATCTAATTATAGAGGCTTGGAAGAGAATTAGGGACATAGAAATTTTGCAGATTTTTTTCCAAAATAAATCAGATATATTAAGAAGAAAAAGCCCACAATTCAGTCAGGACAACTTTAGTCAAAGAAAACTTTATTTCCATTAGCAGTATTATATTTGGCAGTATGGCTCTGTTCTGGGGCCTCTCTGCCTTTCCTAGGGCCTATGCAGAATGCCTCTTCCTTGCGCCTAAGTGGAAGGCCTAAGGTGGAGAGAGCACACCTCTCTGCCCTTCCATGTGCAAATGAGGAAAGCCTGAGGTCGAGAGAGAGCAAACCTCCCTGCCCTTCAATGTGCCTACATGGAAAGCCTAAAGTGCAACACACACCGCCGCCGGCGCGGCGCTGTGGCCGTCAAGGGCCGCCCCCCAACACACACTGGCAGCGGCGCGCAGCGGTACTGTCAACATGTATTTCCCACCCCAGCCCGCTAGGTGGCTGTACCTACACTAGTTGCCAACGGTTGCCAACTGCTAGTAACAGAAGAAGAAGAGGAAAAACTTTGAGGCAACAACAACTTGAATTTCACGGGTGAGTTTCTTATCAAAGTCGTCTTATTAAAAATTTGAAACAACCGGAGTTGATCCTACGAGACGAGACGTACATAAAAGGCTTTTCTCGCAGCGCCGCCATGAGCGCCGGCCGCGCTGGAAATAGAGCAGTGGGCTGAAGCAGTGTGGGTTGGTTCATAGAATACAATGGAGGCGGGCGTTTTGACGTGCAGCATACAGCGGCGGTGTGTGTTGCACTTAAGGCAGAGAGAGCAGCAGCAAAGACCCCTGGGAACAGAACAGAGCAGCATCAATGACAAACAGAAATGACATTGATAAGTCAGACACAACATGAAAAGGAGGAGCTGGGGTGGAGGCGGGTTGCAAAGTGGCTTGCAGAGGAAGCAGCAACAGTAGGCAGGCCAGAGCAGTTTAAATAGGGCGCCATTAATGAGATTCGCCAATAGTTGCATAGAAAGGAATCATGTGATCTATCAGCTGACTCCCTTCCATCAGTCAGCTCCTCCATCAGTTAATTGGGCTGTTTGAGATCAGCTGATGTAGCTGGGATGTGAGCTGAGCTTGACATCGTGTCCTGCCTGAACTAATGCTACGCTCCATTTTTCAGCTTTCTAAAATTACTTTTATTTCGTACATGAATCTCAAGAATTTAATTTGCTTGTTTTCTTTAATTCTGAGATCAGTCTGAGAACTTAATATTTTGGCATAACCATTTGACACAATAAAAATTTTGCCCTAAAACCTGCCAATCTTTCATCTGCAGAAAAGTGAAAGATAATAAAATGACAAAAACTTTATGTGACAGAAAGTAATTTAATTTTAAAAAGTTTGATAAATAATAATATAGAAAATATAACATGACAGATCTTATGTTCCTAAACTGGGTTTGACTGAAATTAATCAGCAGCATGTGCATAAAATATACCAGCTGTCAAACTCGTTGATGCACCTGAAGGGGAAGTTTTCTCCTATTCAATGAGACACACTGATCCACAGATCAGAGTGGACTGTTGACACCTGTCTCTGTTTTGCTTCACACAGCAAGAAATGTTGTCTCATATGAGCTGACAAGGTCAAGGTCGAGACAGCTGAGCACTGGCTTCCTTCTCCGCTTTTGTTTTGTTTCGTTCTAAAAGTATTTGTTGGGACACTTGTCAAACCCCCAGAGCTTGATTTTAAATCCAAGTGGAGTCTGTAGAGTTTCCTGAGATACTGAATATATCAGACTGAATGTTGGGTTATTGTGTATAAAATGATACACATGGCACTAGAAAAAGTCTGAAACTGCTGATACAGAACAGATAAACAATGATATTCAAAATATTTAGGCGGCATCAACGGTATTCCTGTGCTCATCTGTGTGTTTGCATACGTCTGTGCAGGTGTTTCAGAATGCCCAGGAGCTGTTGCAAGGCTACCAGGTCCACCCGGAGATTCAGGCTCAGATGTTCGCCTACCTCTTCTTCTTCTCCAACGTGTCGCTGTTTAACCAGCTAATGGACAAAGGTAGGGCAAAAAGCACACACACTCATACTCCGTTCGAACTCCCCTGGGATTTGTACAGTTGTTAGTGTGTGTGAGAGAGTGTGTGTCCTTGTGTCCTTGTCAGCATTTTGACAGAGACTAACCCAGATTTGTCCTCAATGCCCTTCTCCTATCTGCATTCTGCCCCCCCCCCCTCCTCCTCCTCCTCCTCCTCCTCCTCCTCCTTGCCTCCCTTCCTTCCATCTGGCCGTCAGGGGGTGAAACAAAGAACAGTAGAGGTGGGATTGGATGGAGGCAAGAGAGAGGAGATAGAGGAGAGGAGGGGGGAAAGGTCAGAGTGAAGGGTAAAAGGCTGGAAAGCCACTCAGTTGTTGTGATGACCTTGCTAATAGCCCATTATCTTGTCTAAATACAGAAAATAGTCATTTACCGCCGGCTATATCCACGTGTCCGACCACCTATTACTTCCAACCTCTCCACACCCTCCTGCTGTATCATTAGCTTGACATACACACACTCACGCTCTCGCCATATGTCTTCATTAGCCGGTGGAGACAGCAGAGATCACATGTCTGGCAAAGGCAGAAGGAGAAATACCTTTATATTCATGCAGAGGCTGCCCTGTCCCCCCTCCTCATCTCCACCTCCCTCTCTCCCCGTCTGTCTGGCTTTCTCTTCCTCTGCCTCGCTCCCCTTTTTTGTCGCTCATTGATATTTCTCCACTGGTGGTGTCCATGGTAACAGTGAAGTGAATTTGTGGCAGGTAACGCTGACGTTTGCACTGGGCACTCTGCAACACTCACTCTGTTAGCCTGATGTTATGGCAACTCAGGGAAGAGATGTAATATGGTGCAGATGCTCTGCTTTGTTACAGGCTTGTATGACTGTGTTGTGACTCATTTCAGACTGTTTGTTTGAGAGCATACGGCAACTTTTCATTGTTTAAAGGAGAGCGCGTGTTTGTAAACCAGCTGAAGCATTATGACACATTTGGTAAGAGGTTAAGTGATGTCTCGTCCGTTTGCAGGGCCTCACACATAGATTACTGTATGCCTAGACATAAGCCTATTACAGTGGGGAGTGTGTGCATATGTGTTCCTGTGTGCACCCAAAACATATGGCAGAATATTTGAAGAGTTGTGTGTGTGTGCCGCCTGCTTCTGCTTCCTGTCATGTCTAACTTGTAGAGAGAGAAATTCTGTGGTGATGATTAAAATGTGTCTGTAAACTGGCATTGATTGATCAAATTCGTAATCTTGTGTACTTATTTTGTGACCAGACAGCTCACTCCTACCTCACTGTCTTCTGTGAAATGGGACTGTTGATTTTGGCTACACACACCTGACACTATGTTTTGAAAATCCTGGACAGAATAAAGCAAACTCTTATGTTATAGGCCTGGTACGATATCAGATTGATATTATTGTGATTTTTATAGAGAATTTGAACAAAAAATAAATAAATAAAAAAATAATGCTGTCAGTCAAGGTCATCTTTAAGTTTGTTGTTTGTTTTTTCTCTGTTTTTGAAAATTGAATACACTACAAATGCAACTGGAGGAAGAGAGAGTCTGTAAATGTAACTTTACAAAATCATACAAAAAGACCAGTTACACCTACTGGACAGTGAAAAGGCAACCAGCTAGTGTTGAGGGAGGGCAACAAAGCAAAGAAATGGAATTTATTTAAGAGGAAGCGCTTGCTTAATGACTCAGTATTATCATATGTGTATTCTTAACACAATATCAATATTTAATTTTACAGCTATCGTACATACTGTTAGACTGCCATATCAAGTTTAGAAAATATGTTGCCAGTTTTAGACTGTTTTATTTAGGAGTTCTTGTACTGCTGCTTATATTTAAACAACATGTTAATATTTGAAAGCTTCTTTGGTTAAATGGAAAAAAGTGTGTCATTAAAATTATTAATGTAATCGATTTTAAGAAACAAGTTCTGTCAGGATTAGTTTGACGCTTCAGTATTTGTGTTTACATTTTCTATATATCTGCCTCACCTTCACTTCTTTTTTTTGCATTTTCTCTCTTAGATTTTGAAAAAAACATAAATAATAACATGAAAATAATTAAATAAATAGAAAAACAGTAATTAAAAAAATAAAAATGTTTCTCCTGCAGCTAGTAATCACCATTGTCAGACTTCATCCCATTATACAGTCAGCATAAAGCGAGGTATATAAAACTTCATCCTACTCCCAGCAGAGGAGCCTATTGATCACCTCCAAAATTCTCACTCAGCTGACTCAGTATACTTGAGCCTGTATTATCAAGACAATAAATGAAAGGATCCCATACTTATTTATATAGTTCTTGTTTTTCCTTAGTAGAAAAGGATTTTCTTTTTCTAAGGATGTACATGCAGACAGATCTTTAGCCTTTTAGCAATACTTGGTCTATTTACATTTTCTCCTGACCTCCACTGCTATGTTTTGTCCTTCGTCTGTGACTTACATGAAGTCAAAGGTGCAACGACTAGCTGATTCATCGTTTAAGACATTTTCTAAGCAATACTGAAATACTGAATAATTTCTTGTTTTGGCTTCTAAAATGAGAGGGTTTGCTGCTTTGACTTTTGTGGTGCTGAATCTCTTTGGATTTTTTCACTGTTGGTCAAACTAAGCAAGCAATTTGAAGATGTCACTGTTGGTGGCATCTCGGAAAATGAACAGACATTTTTCACTGTTTTCTGACTGATTAATCGATTCATTGAGAAAATAATTGGCTGATTAATTGATGTTGAAAATGATTGTTTGTTGCAGCCTTACATGAAGTAATTGACAGTTATTGTGTAGGTACGGAGGCTGACTGGGGAGAGTGTTGTGTTGGCTTGGGTGTATAATTGAAATGTTACCATGGGGCTCATTGTTCGTTGCAGTTTGTATTTACTGTATGTGGAAAGTGTGTTTTTACTAATTGTGTTTTGTGTGTCTGCTTGCTAACTTGCTACTTTTTTTTTGCACATACTCTCTGATTATACAACCAAATAAAGAAAAAGATATTACTTTGCATCTGCACAGACACTCAGGTATCATTGGCATTAGTCCAGTTGTTTGTCATTGTTTGTACCAAAACCCAGCGGAGGCCTGAGCTCACATTGGGGGGTATTTCGGAAAGCTTAAATAGGAATTATAGCTGCAGTGAGGTAATGGAACGCCAGATTGACGAACTATGGGACGCCATCTTGACAAATGCCAGATTTCAACTTACCACATGCTTCACTTGACTCAAAACGTCCTTTCAGTTCTGTGATATGGAGAAAGAAAGGATTACACAGAGTGAAGAACGCCGGCTGTGTGCTGGTTTGCTGTCAGCTGAGCCCCGCTGCAGCAGTCGATTTGTATTATGCGAGGAGGATTGTTTCATTGACTTCAGTATCAATGTGCTTAAAAATTAATGTCTGTATTGTTGTACAACACATGCAGACAAACTCACATGGTCTCTCTTGTAGTCTGTCTTTCTCTCAGACATGCACACACCCAATAGAAATCTACTGCAGTGTCTTTAATGTTATACTATCCACTCACATCAGTGTGTGTGCGTGTGTGTGCACAGGTCCATCTCGGGGTTGGTTCCAGCGCTCGAAGGTGTTGCAGATTCAGGCGTGTCTGCGAATGGTCATGGAGTGGGCGAGCAGGTCTGGTCTGGGACATCTGGCTGAAAAGTTCTTCACCAAACTCAACAGCACTGTGTCCATACTGGCCACGGCCCCACAACAGCTCACACAGGTACTACACACACAATTTCACCCACAATTTTATGAAATGATCAGGAAAAACTTAATGTTTTAAGTGCTTTCAGACCTAGAGTTGTCTTGCTTTGGTCTGAATCAGGTACTAATTTTGTCACAAAGTTGCATAATTGCCAAGAGTTGGTTCGTGTTCTCACGGCAGCATTTACAAGTGGACCAGATAAAATGCCTTGTGTGAGAAAGCTGTTCTTGATTGGTCAGAATTTCCATGTGGGAAAAATCCAGGAAGTAAACAAAACGTTGAAGAAGAGTACACTTGCAAGATATATGTGACACTTTCTTATGTCACGATGAAGGGACAACTACGCAGGTTGATTTTAGCACTGCTCATCGTGGACTATATTGCTGTCATTGTTTATTTTAGTCAAACCATACAATTTGAAAACGAGGTGCGGCTCCAACTAGAAAACCATGTTCTGATGCACTGGATGTGCCAAATCCTCCAGGACTGTAGCATGCTCATGCTTGTTTCACCCAAACAATACTTGATGTGACTGCAGTTGGTTCGGATCGAGGTCAGCACACGTTCTCACCACAAACAAACCGAGTTTGTTTGTAACTGGACAGAGACCACCTCTTCAAGAGGGGCTCAGTCCAGTTGTTTTGGTGTGCACCCAAGTGCGATTGCTGTGTTCACACCTGCCCAAACGAACCGCACTTAAGGGGCGAATGAACTTGAGTTCCATTGAACCAAACCAAACAGGGCAGGTGTGGGAGCACCCTAAGTTTAGCATCAACCTAAAGAATGGAAGCTATCAGGTACAAAGTATTGCTGTAAGACTCTTAGGTCCAGTCTACATGTATCTACAGATAAATATTTTCGTCCACAGTAGAACGCAAAAACAACCCAGTTGGCTGTCTTCAGCAGTCTCCCCTCGTCACAAAGAAAAAACTACTGCCAACATTTTTCAAAACACCTGCTGGAGATATCATCACTGATGATTCCTGTTTGATATAAGGATGAAGGAGCTCACTCAAACATACGAGTGATGCTCTGGACATGCAAATGTTTTGGGACCTGATCCAAAACTGTCAATTCTGGCAAACTTCAAACTGCAGACGCTGAGGTTGAGAATTGAGTAATTATAAGACTAAGCAACATTAACAAAATATTAGCTAACTGGTAGTCCATCAGTGTTGTTTCTTGCACATGCTGATTATACACAAATCAACAATGGGCATGTACAAATCAAGGAGTTTCCATCATCATTTCCCAAAAGCTCTGTTTTACATGTCCACACAGAGGAACAGTTAACGGACTTCTGAAAAATCTGCACCTCAGGAGGCGTTTTAAGAAATCTCAGTCTTGGTGCCCTAAAACTCTGCGTTTGGATGAGAGGCCAAAACAAAGAGGAAAATATCTGTTTTTAAAAAATATCTGTACACATGCAGACAGGGCCTTAATCCTGTAATCTTCTAAAAACAGGAAAGCTCTGATGGGCTGTAATCAATTTTCTTGATTGTTTTAAATACATCCGATAGAATGGTTCATGAAGCAAGTCACTCTGATCATCTATTGATTTATGATGTCTTTGAAAAGGTTTAGCCAGGATCAACTTGTGACTGCCCGCACTGTGATTGCTTGGCTGTGTTGAAAAAAGGACCTCCCAGGACTTTTGATGAATTTCTTCTTTTTTCGTCTCTGTGTCCAGTTGAGTTGGCGAGCTTTGTCCAGTGAGCACCCGGCTCTGAAACCTGTCCAGCTGCACAGGATTCTCACCCAGTACCAGCTCACAGCAGAGATAGGTCCGGTCCCAACATGGCAACCCAGCAGTGAGGATGAGGCGTACATTTACAGAACAGGTACATGTGTGAATTTGTGAATGTAAGTGAGTGCAAGTTTATTTTCGAGGCAAGTGGAATTGACATAATGATGGCAACATAAAGCCTTAATGCTATAGGAGGGAAAGTTTAGTCTGTAGGCACAATGAATACTGGCCTGTGTCTCTTAAGCCTCATTTCCACCAAGCAGTTCAGTCCAGTTCAGTTCAGTTCAGTTTGTTACACATTAGAATATTTTACATAGTTATTTTTGCATTTGCATTGTCAAAAATTGTGAATGTCACCAACAGAAATGTTTTAATACCAAAAAGTGGAGCTAGAAACATAGCAGTCTGTTGATTGGTCACCAGACGATTCTTGCTCGACTAAGACTCAGTGCACAGACCCGCTATTTTTAAACACTACAGCGTGTTCTTTTTTTGTTCTGAAAATGTCAGTGAGCCACCCCATTCTGTGGATGATCAGCTGCAGACATTCCTGTGCATTGTCTGTGAGGAGGAGATACAGCCAGAGCTGGATGGAGCAGTGAGAAACAACAAACCCACGTACATGAAGAGTACAGTCTGCAGCGGAAACGCAAAACAGATCTAGGGTTAAGAGACATGTCTGCATGGGCTACGTAAATGGACTGGATTCAAATAATCGATTCAACAGATTCAAATCGTTCTTCATTCAAATGATCTGAAATTGATTCATCAAATTCAAGATTTATCTTGTATTATACGCCTTTACCCGCAGATGTAGTTATTATTAATTTATTAATTTATGAGCTTGGTTAGTCATCATGCACATTTTAGACTTAACAGTTTTTAAACAGCACTTAGAGTGAGATTCAGGCAGACACGTTGGTCTCTATCGACTGGTTAGGGAGAACTGAATCCCCCTTCCCAACACAAATCAGTAAGAGTGGACGCAGTGTCAGACTGAAGATAGAAATTGATCGTAACGAGTTGACAATTCTGTCCGATATAAGGCAAGACAGAGAGTGATCAGACCCCTGTATGAGGTGTTTAAATATCACAGTATACTGGTTTCTAACTCCAGCTAGCATAGTCATGTTTCTTAAAAAAACAGGGATAAGAGCTTATCTAGATCACTGAGACCAGGATATGATGTGTACATGTGAGAACACCTAACTGTGATACTCCAAAACCTGATCATGACGAGAATACTAGTGTGCATGTAAATACAACAAGCAGCTAGCAGCTCTAGTTAGCTTGAAATAAAGGAATTATTAGAAGGAATGTTGGGTGTGAAAGCTGCAAGCAACCCTGGATCAGGCCTGTAACGATGCATGTGTGTGTAGGTGAGTTACCACTGGTTTGTGTGTGTGTTTAGTGGACCTCCTGGAGAGCTTTGAGAACCACCCTCCCATAGTGCTGCCCAGTGCCGGCTTCAGAGTGGACTTGGACAGCGAGTGCGTTGAAGACAGCATCTACAGACAGCTGCTCTACATCCGCCACTACCTGTGGGGGCTGCGCACCAAGACGCAAACACACACCAGTGCCCCTGGTGTGCACACGCACTCCAACGGCACCAACACAGCTGACTGGCCTGACGTTCAGGTCAGCATACTGCACACTGTCAGATACCCACACCTAGCAGTAATCCAGGCCATGTGCCTCGGCAGCTGTGGTTGTTGAGGAGTTCCTCATAATCCCATAAATGAAAGACAAAAACCCTCTACTCCAGCCAAGCCGCACACACATACACATACTCACTCACAGAAACCTAGACATGGTTAAATCATGGTTAATCTGATTAGTCTTTAGGCTGTCTAATTAGTGGGAACGGCTGACTAGACCATAATCCCTAGTGTTACTGCACCCTCATATGTACACATATACGCACACACACAGGAGCACATATACATTCACAAATATGTTAAATAGTTAATTTTGTCCATTAAATAATTATAATCTCTTAATTTATTTTAACTTAACTTTAACAATGGTGACAACAGGAATATTTATTTTCTGACCATTTTCTAATCGTTGCACCCTCGTTTTAGACCTCATCCTGTCTTCTCACGTCTTTCTGTCCCATCCCGACACAGAGGGAGTTGCTGCCTCCGGCCCACAGCAGTCCCCGCTCTGGGGTTCCTGGGGACGAAGTGACGGCAGAGACAGGAGAGGAGAGAGGACGGGAAAGACCCCCAGGCCAATCGCACACACACAGCCTCAGAAGGAACGGCATCATCCACCACACTCGCACAGCAAATCCAGACCCATCCTGCCTCTTAACCCCTCCCAACACCCCGCTGTACCCAGAAGGAGGAGGAGGGGGAGGGCAGATCATAGGCCCCAACACCCAGACTAACGGCTGCACCAGCAGAACTGTGGCAGAGTGTAAAAAGGCCAATGGACTCATCACCAACGGGCTAGAGGGTAGGCTGAACAACATACAGGAGGTGGACAAAATAACAGGAACACATGAGCAGTATAATGGAACCCATTACAGAAACACTACAATCTGTGGCCTGACACATCGACAGCTTCACCCAAATCGTATTTTATCTGTAGGGTTATTATACTAAGTCACATAATTAAATTTGGGTGTTTCTGTTATTTTGTCCGCCCCAAATCTGCAGTTTAAATTGTTAACCTTGCAGTTCATTCATTATACACAATATTTGGGATTCACCGATCCAACCTTCTCTGATTCAAAACACCTGAGCTCGGGGGCTCTGTCCGTATGGTACCAGTGCTATGTTTTCCCCAAATTTAAAATCTGTGTATCACACTGCAGGGAAGTCATTGGAAGATTTTGTATTTAGGGTCACATGAGGTCAGAGTTTACTGTAAAAACTGAGCTGTGACTGAATGAATTTGACTTGTAGCGGAAAAACATTAATTAAACTGTATTTAATGTTCATTTGTCACATCATGACAAACACTCCATCCATTTAATAACTGATTTAAATTCAGTTTAAATGGTGTTTTGTTGATATCGGTGCATCCCTACACAGTATTCAGTACATAAATACAGAAAACACACTGCACAAGATGTGGCAAATATTAACACTCTACTAGAAGACACTTTACACTGGATATTGGCTGGCTCAGTCTCTCTCTCTCTTGTAGGGCTGGGTATTGGTACTCGATACCATAATTGACTGAAATAACCCATAACCGAGTACAGTTGACACTTCTCCATTCAAATGATAGCTGCACTTGATCCTTTTTTTTACCCAAAGCTAGACAAAAATGACTATTTGAATTGTTTATGTGCAACCAATCACCACAAGCATTCTTCTTGGGATGTGTGATTGGTGCACTACCTACTACCACAGCAGCTACAACAACTCATACAGTCTGTGGTGTGTCGAAGGCGAGTGCAGTGTATTTGATGGAGTTGCCCATTTAGCATGTCGAGATGTCACCAAAATGTTCAAAAATAGTTAAATCTGTGAACTAAATGCTTCGATTTACATGATGACTGTCGAATGAAGAAGAAAAAAAGGTATCAAATGCAGTAGTATCAGTTTAAGGGTACTGGTATTGGTGCTGGTATCGTCATTTTTCAAACAATACCCAGCCTTACTCTTTTGTGTGTCCTCACTCAGTAAATCTGAAAGACAACAGGACATATGTTAACAACACCTGCACAGAATTTGTGCCATTCTAAATTTACTTAAAACTGCATTCATCTCAATTATTATATTTCTGGATTAAGTGACTATAAGAGTTCACTTGTCGCCTTGAACTAAACAAAGAATGATCATCAGTTGCAGTGCTCTTATCAGTTTCCAGCTGCAGCAAGCAGTTTTCTGCAAAAACGTCTGCTAAACGCACTGCACGCTACCTGCAGAGCACCTAATGGCAGGAAAGCAAATTACTAGCTGGTGAAAAATGTGCAAGAGCCAAAACTAGAGCTAATATTAGACTTAAATTCATCACCACGTCCTGTAAGACCAATTTCAGTTGGAGATAGTGTTGCTGTGACGTTTAAGAGAGCAATTGTTAGCTAATATGTTAAACATTAATAAGATGATCATACTGTTTTGGGGTTCCTCTGTCCCCCAGTGGCCAGAAATAGATGAATGCTGCTTTAACTGTGCACTTTTTCTTTGTGCAGTTCTGTAGTAGAAATGCTGGAGCTCGTTGGCCAGCTCTGTGCCTCACATGACAGCAGTGTGTCTCTCGTACGGTCCTTACAGTGTAGTGAGTGTGACATCTGCAGGCTCTCGTCAGAAGCACATGTTTGTGTGTCAGATTAGCTCCGTAGCATGGTCTCAGTATCTGTGTGTTTGTCTTCTGCACAGCAAGACCTCCTCTGTTTGTCCAACCCCATAGCAAGACCCTGTGTGTGTGTGTGTTTTTGTGCATTTGGGTGTCCGTGTCCTCTGCAGGGTGTATTAGTGGGTGTGAGTTTCCTTTCCCTGTATCCTCCCCTGGCGCCCCTCCCCTTCCTGATGACTTGTGTGTGGTGTTTGTAGTGGAACTGGACAAGGGACCCTACGGACTGGGCATGGGACTTATAGACGGCCTGGTGAGTAGACGGATATTTAAAAACAGATTTTACATTTCTTACCTGTCAGTCGGGGTTTCAGCAGTGTGTCTTCTTCTTTGTGGTTTACTACTTTTACCAGTAGAATACGTTAACAACACAAACATATTTAAGCTGTATTGAGGACAGATTTTAGAACTCCATATTGACAAAATCATAATTTACTAGATCCCTTAATATTGATAGATGCTGATGGGACAATATTCTGGGAATTATTTTTGCAATTTATGAGTGTCCTCTCATGTGGATGCACAAATACCATGCACCTAAATACAACATATTAAGAAACTGTAAACATGCATATGGTTTGTTGAGCCCACTGGAAACTGCAGAATACCCTATTAACACTTTACTTCAACCCCACCTACTTATTATTTGTAAGCAGTACATGTAATAAATACTCTATAACACATCATAACGTAGTTATAGGCAGCTATAAGGACATTTAAACTGTTTATTACTGTGCAGTATTTTCAACAATTATAGCAATTAAGGGGCTCTCACATGTATTCCTCCCATGAAGACGTGTTTTATATAATTTCACCTGTTTGTTTGTTTGGTTTTTTTTGACAGACTTTTATGGATGCTTCACAGGAGATAAAGACACAACATCGATAAATTAATAAAAAATTATATTAGCTTTGAAATTATATGGTGTTATAAACCCCTAATTACATTGTTAATAGGATAGTCTCAGCCCTCGACCATCTAAAGTTAGCTTCCTGAAAGAACAGTTTGGACATAAGAGGTCTGAAGTTCTTTTCAATTAGTAAGAACAAATAAGTTTCAAACTGTGTCACTGGACAAAGCTTAAACAGAGGATGTTTAGTAATTGATGAAGTAATTGATGAAGCAAATAACAGTGTTTTCCTTAGTTATATATTAACCTCAGGTTTATTCTCAAGTTTATTTTTCATGAATTAGGAAACCTCACAGTCTATTATATTACGGCTTATAACATGGCTACTTACTGGATGGAACGAAAAGCTGTGTTCATATTGGTATCCATTTTGTAATTTGTTTATTAATTAGTCGCTAATCATAAAATTAATAACCTATGTTTTTGATAATTTATTAAGCAAACATGCTATATAGTTCCTTAGTGCTGTTTCTCAAATGTGGGGATTTGCATCTTTTCTCTGTCTTATATCATTGCTCATTGAATATCTTTAGACTATTTTTTCCGCAGCGAACATTAAAGGGTAACTTTGGTATATTTTAATGTTTTTGTATCTAAAAATGCTTGTTTTTGACATGGACAGGCTCAGATTATAATTCTTTATGTCTGACATTATGGATTAATTAAGGATTCCTATTATAATACAACTTTCTGTTAAAGAATAAGATGATGTTGTTTAATGAGAAACGGCCCTGAAATCGCTATCACCCAACCCACCAGACTTTATTTAAATAAAGAGTAATTTTAGCGTGTATAGAGCCAGCATATTTACACATCTAACTTGGTGAATTAAGGGTTTATTTTAACCAAACCAGAGATGGGGATTGTTGGAATAGTGGAAAGACAAACCATGACTGTCTGTATTTTGTTTCAGTCGAGTTTGAATGAAGTGTGCTTTATGATGATAAAATTGCCGCTTATTTAAATGGTGGGTTTGACAATAACGATTTTAGAGGATCTTGCCCTTTTAAAAAAAGTTATATCTCTTTAAGATCCTCTCCATACGATTATCAGACACTTAGAATAACAATCTGAGCCTGTCAGTGGCAAAAACACGCACCTTTAGTGGACATAATTTAACATTGTGTAAATGCCGGAGTGGTTAGATTGCAGCATGTTTCGCCACTGCCAGCAACAGGCCTCTCACTCAATATAGACAATTTCAAAACTTGATGTCTTGGACACTTAGACACAGAAACATGGGAAAATAGGGTACAGTTTGAAAAGTGCTTATGTTATCCTTTAAGTGGTAACAGCATGAAGCAGACATATGTGTGCTTTGGTTGTCTGCAGTTTATTATACCTTATATACTTGATATAGAAGTTAAACTGTTGATAGTAACATTTCAAGTGTCCTGTACAAGTTTTACAGCAGTTTAGGAGCAGAAATAGAGCTCTAAGTATTTTCATTGGCTGCAGTATAAATTTGGCAATCAGCTCTACCAGATGTTCGCCTACATAATGAACACACATATTGTACATACTCTAACACTTGTCCCCCCTGCAGCACACTCCTCTCAACGCTCCAGGCATTTACATCCGGACTCTGATCCCTGACGGACCTGCTGCCTCCGACGGCAGACTGAGGATCGGAGATCGCATCCTGGCTGTGAACGGGACCAGTCTGATAGGAGCAGACTACCAGAGGTACAGAGGACACTCCAGTGGTGCTCTGTGTGACCAGAACAATGGGCTGATGGAGATTAATGATACTACTGGGTGATATTGACTCTGATGACAGGACCCACAGTATTAACCATACCCATGGCTTTCAGCCTCTTAAGCCAATTGATTACTTTGATTGATTGATTGGCACGAGCCTAGACAGGTCATTCTTACTCTGTCTCTGCTGAGCTTCATGTAACCGGACTCTGTCTTTCTCCCTCTTCTTCCTCCCCCATGCTCCTCACAGCGCGGTGGATCTGATTCGTCTGGGAGGAGGTCGCCTACGTTTCCTGGTGGCAAAGTCCGACCCCGACATCTCAGAGAAGATCAGTGCCTCATCCTGCTGACCACCTCTGAGACACGCACAACATCAGACTGAAGAGGTAGGACAGCAAAACATCGAGGGACACAGATGTGTGCGCCCATCAACAGGGTACACACAAAGACACACCCATGCGTACATACGTGGCTTCAAATATGAATGTGAAATCTAGCATCAGCACAGCACAAAGCCAAGCAATCAAACTGGAGATAACGCTCCATGACTCCGCTCCACAGCTGCCAGACCTGCTTCCCCTCACGCTGACTCCTACTGGGTTTGTGTGACAGACAGAATCCGTTACTCACTGCGACATCAAAGGACTATGCTGCGAGGAAAAGTTGCCTAATTAATCAGCGTTTGGGGCAAGCGAGCCAGTATGCAGTCTGATGTAATTTAAAGCACAGTAGATCGTAGGGTTTTAATTTCTCCTCAGTCGGCGCTCGGAGCATGTGCACACATTGGACTTTTTACCACCTGTATTTTAGAATAATTTGTATTAGTAATCCAGACATTCAGTAGCATGGTATAATAGCTACCCAGCTCTCAGACAAAAGGACTCAAACTTGGACACAAACTGAGAATGTACTTTACGATTATAGAAGCTTTTGCGGACAAACAAAGTGAGGACAGCCTCAGCGCACGCTGGATGTTTTACACAGTGGAATGTTTTATAATCATGTTTGTTAGCAACTCCCAAAGCACTATCACCGCCTGCTCGACAGACTAAACGATTGTGTATAAATGTTGACTTTTGTACCGGAGAGAGCGTCGAAGAGGAAGAGAACTCAAGACAAACAGCCCAGCTCTCCCATTTAACCTCAGTAATGGACTTTATACCTCCACTGGAAAACAGACGAGCTCTCAAGGCTCGACATGCACAGACAATGTGCAGCTGTTGTGGGACATTGTTTATTAATTACTGGGTCATCAAGACAACATGATTCACTCCAGAGGTTCTGATGCACAATCCTGGTGTGTATAAAGTACTCTTTTGTTGTGAAGATATACTGTATGTATCTTGTCATGAGGTGTAAATAGTTGTGTGTAAATACTGAACACTTGGTCACATAATGTTTGGACTTCAAAAGAGGAAACCGCATTTGGGGAACTACTCAATCATTTTTTTCTGCAATACATTGGTCAGTAAACACTGAAACCTGCTGATGGGGAAAAAACTGTTCTGGAATGACGTGAATATAGTTATGAATATAGTTATAGTTATGGGTTGTGGATTTTTTTCTCTCTAAATTTTAATTTATTTCAAGCACTTGAACAGGCATGAAACTTGTACACTGCAAAACTGCATATCACTGTTCACAAAGTCATCAGCTGCACTTTTACTTAAAGGGTTACTATACCTAAATTACAGAAAACATTTTTTTTTCCTTCTAGTTGTATCTAGTCAGGCAGATGGTCATGCTTTTAGGTTAGATTTTGAGATGTCTCGAGATGCTGGTGCCTCCAGCCCAGTACGATAAAGCTAAATGGAATTTTGATTGTGTTTGTTCACAGCATTGACAAATTACATTTTAAACATTCAACAGCAGTTTTCTCTCCAGATATAATGTCCAGGTTGCTCTGGACATGTACCGTCTTTGATAGAAGAAAGTAGTTTCACTGAAGACCTTTCATTGTGAGGTCTGTGGGAGTGTTGTCAAAAATATTGATTTATTGATACATATCGTTCCTGAATATTTGAAACTATTTCAGTACTCATTTTCAGCAGTATTAATACACCAATACCAGCCGTGCTTTCTTGCTCTCTCTTATTGTTCATGTTTACTATAGTCATTCTGTTCTCTGCTACTAAACAAAAAAAGAAAACTTGGAATTCAGTCATGTTACAGCCTTTTATATTAATCTTTTCATGTACATTTTATGCCCTCATTGTCCATTTTTCCTGTGGTATCAAAAAGGCTATCAAAGTAGTAGTAAACTGTGGCTTATCCAGTGCAGTGGGGACATTTTTTTCTCTTTGAAAAAATGTTGCTAATGATTTTTTACAAATAACTTTTCAATGCTGTGAGCACAAAAAAGGATTCCATTCAAGGACCTACCTTCCTTGACATTTAAACGAAGTTTAAACTTAGACTAGTCGACTAGTCTAAAGGTAAGACATCAATCGAAACGGTTCAAATGCAACAGTGTAATGGTTAATTTTTTTTTTTGAGGGAATTTATTCAAATTTGGCACAAACTTTCACTCTGAGTCAGGGATTAAATGATTACAATTTGGAGGTCAAAGGTCAAGGTCACTGTGACCTTGTTTGCCATATTCTCATGAACATGATCTCAAGAACACCTTCAAGGAATTTCCTCATATTTGGCACAAACATCTACTTGGACTCAAGGATGAACTGATTAGATTTTGGTGGTTGGGAGTCAAAGGCCAAGGTCACTGTGACCTCTCAAAAGATTTTTAGCCATAACTCAGGAATTTAAACGCTAATTATGAAAAAATTTCACACTGATGTCTAATAGGATACAATTATGAAGTGATGACCTTTTATATACCAAAGGTCAACTTCATTGTGAAATCATAATGTTGTGCAAAAACACTTTCTGGCCATTACTCAATATTATAACTCAGGAACAGAAGGGGAGACATTTGGTTAGATATTGAATTGGTCACACCAATCTGCAGTGTTGAAACTGTACTGATTGTACAGATCTTCTGTGCTGCAGAGAAGATGATGTGTGTGAAGCATCCACGTTTTCACAGACATGGAAGTAAACTGTAAGTGCAACTTAACCGGTGCACGGAGGCACACAACCGTGAGGAGGTAATTCTATTTTCTAATTCATGCAGCTGAAATGTGTAGCACTTTGCTCTGTGCATTGTGAACACTGCACATTATCCTACAAAACACAACCAACAAACAAGTATTATACTGGGAAGTCTCAGAGGCATATCTAAAAATCTAGGCAAGCAAAACCCAAACTATCTGTGTGACTGGATACCAGACTGAACATATTTTTATGTAATTTGGCTGGACTGACCCTTTAATAAAAGAGCTAGCTGGACTAATAACAGGTCACCTTTTTCAAAAGTCCTTAATTCAAGGTGTAGGTCACTACAAGGAGAAAAAAAAGCTATGCTTAGTCAGTTCTCTGCTGCCTGGCTGTCTTTTCTGACCTCAGCTCTGTTGACCTCCCCTGGGACACCCTGGATCACCATGTCAGGAGCAGTGACCCTCTGCCAGCCTGTGACCAGTCCCTCTGCAGAGAGGAAACATTGCAGCGCCGCAGATCGAGATGTTCACAGGCTCTCGGAGTGAGAAAAGCCAAGATTAGGCTGTAACAGGCCGTCACACAAGGCACTGAGGGACTGTTGTTAATGTTTACTAGAGCCGCAACCACGATTATTTATATTATTGATTAATCTGTCAGCTATTCTTCCCATTAATCATTATTTTGTTTGGCCAAAGGTCCAACCCCCTAAAAAGATTAAATTTACAAGTACTAGGAAAAAAAATTAAATCTCAAATTCACATATTGTATTTGATGAAGTTTAACTTGACCAAAACAACTGACTAATCATTTAAGCACTGATATCAGCAGTTGTTACACTGTCTGGTTTACCTGTTGTTTTAATTTCTTCTTATTTACGCAGTAGACGTTAAGATTTCAGTCCAAACATTGTTTTTTTTTCCATCAGCTTTGTTTTACTCTCCACTTTTGATTCTGTGAACTTCTTTGCAGTAACATTTTTGTGCGTTTTAAGGTTTGTATGGCATTGATCTCATGCATGTCTATTCTTCTCTGTTTATTATTTATACTGTTAAAAACGATGGTACTTAAGAATAAAGATTGTTGGATACTTGCATTTCTTTCTGCTCAGAAACCCAAAGTCACCAAATGTAACAACAACAGTAAGACTGGAGACTTACCCAACACTGCTGACACCTGCTCACACGAGAGAGGACAAAGTAATATTTAAGTCAATGAGGAATTTTAATTTGTGCTACACATTTTAACAAATCACAAAAACAGGAACATTTAAAAATACATATACTTCTCTATTTCCAGAATGTTTTTATGTATTGACGACAGCTGTTTTTACATATAGCAAAATATTTTTTCTTTTTTCCAAAATCAGAAAAAATACCTTCTAAATAGCTTTGTCATTTAGCAGATAGAGCAGCATACAATCATTACACATCTTTTTTTTTTGTTTGTTTTTTTGTCTAATGTGCAACAACAATCACTGAAATCTTGCGCAATTTGTGCCTGATTGCCAGCTAAAAATGCGGCCTGTGCGAGGACATTTGGAAAAGCTAAAGGCAGAGTGAGAATGAGAGATTAGAGAGGGGGGAGAAAGTGCTAAAGGATATCTAATTAAGGCAAAGTCTGTCTGTGACAGGAATTGCCAACAGCTTGATGCCTCTGTAGAGACTGTAAAGATAGAAACTGCTCACTGAGGACAGGGAGAGAGGTAGAGTGAGAAAAAGGTTAATGCATTTAGGGGAAACTGAAAGCAAAAGAGTGGGAAGGCAAGAGTAGAAAATATGTCACAAGTACCATACAGAAAGAAGGAAAAAAAAAGACGAGAGCAGTTGAAATTTGTGGTCGTGTGTTGGTCCCGCCCTTCCCCTGATAAAACTGATATAACTACTGATGCAACGTAACTGTCACCATTGTAGTGTTGCCGATCATGTACTGTTAAAGAAGCGCTGTGTTAATCTAAAAAGGTAAAGCTGTCTAAAGGTTAAAATAAAATGACAAAAAAAAGTAGAAATATTTAAGGCTTTAAGGATTATTACAATAATGCTTTTCTGTGCTAAGACAAACAAAACTGTACGCACAGGCTGTTCCATTTCTCCTTTTACCACTACTGAAACAAGAAAAAAAATTAAAACAATCAGTTTGTCTACATTAGGTTAGCTCCACTTCAATCAACTCCAAATAGTTGCCTCTTTTTTTTTTTTTTTGCCCTTCTCTGCCATCCAATCACCCAGATCATCTTGAATCTGAGGAGCTTCACACTGATAAACCAAACTAAGCTGAAGTGAAGCCAACTGCAAAGTCCTGGTTTGTTATTCCTGGATTTCGTCCCATCTCTTCAAGACAATACCCCTTTCTTTTTGTGCTTTACAGAGAAGGCAAGAAGTAAAGACACCTCACATTCTGGTCTCTGCCTTAATATTAACATCTTTCTTTTTTTAAAAGACACAACCAGTTTTTCAGTGAGGATTGCCTTGTAAAGAGTACAATCATATTCTTAACAGTCTCCCAAGCCCCATTCATGGGTACACGCTGCTAAGTCCTCTCTATCTTTCTGTTTCTCGACTGTATGAAATTACACAACATCAATATCAACTCATCATGATCAACTGATCATCACAGTTTCTTCTGTAAATGCCGGCCATTTCAAATCTCTGAACACACTTTCCCTGGTTTTACATCAGGCAGTGACTCTAATCAGAAGTGCAGGAGATGTGGGTTCTTTGGCCTGAGACTGACAGTAACTGATGCATCTGATCTATCAACTCGAGGAACGTTGTGTCTGAGATATCATCCAACATTCACGTAGTAAAAGTAGTGCTGAAATGATTTCAATATGCATAATGCTCTCAGAAGCTTAAAATCCTTTCTCGTGTTGTCAGTGAATGATGGATTACATTAAAAAGATTGTAAAGCTGAAAAAGTCCTGAAAGATTTACTTGCTTTTTACATTCAGAATGCATTTGAAAGTTTGAATGTATTTTTTGACCAAAATATATGTTCCTTACAATTTAATTCCCTTCTGTCGAGAGAGGCTGCCTGTACATTTTTTGGCCGTGTCGGCTGCAGTCATATCAAATGAGTATAAAAGGCGAAGCAGTTAGGGGACCATTAGGAGGCTGTCCATCGGGTACCTGGTAAGAGGCCCTGGGTTTTACTTCCTAGGGTCGTGGGTTTGTGATGTCATGGCAACGATAACGGGCTGCTGAGCGGGTGTGACTTGATGCTGAGGAGATTCAGTCCCAGCCTCGTCCTCCATCTTTGGCCGCTTGGCCTGGGGCTCACCTGGCTGCTCAGCTAAATTTTCTGCACTGGGCTGTCTGCTTACCAGCACTGGAGGGGAGCTGGAGGCCTGAGCAGCCAAGATCTGGAGAGGACTATTCAGGCCTGGAAGGGAAATGAAGAAAAAAGGAAAGTCAGGTGGAGTAATTACCTATATGCCTTAAAGGGAGAGTTCACCACAAACTCAAAAGCACATATTTTCCCTCTTACCCTTGACCCATCAGTCAAGATTGTTTTGGTACAAGTTGCCGAGTGCTGGAGATATCAGCCATAGAGATGTCTGCCCTCTCTCAAGTTTAATGGAACTAGATGGTTCTTGGCCTAAGTGGCTCAAAGTACCAAAAAAATACATTTGAAAAACTCAACAGCAATGTCTCTTTCCAGAAACCATGACCCTGTCACTCAAGATAATCCACAGACCTTGTTGTGAGCAGTTTCGTGAAGGATCTGTTTTCTCTCTACTGAGCTACACCTGCCAACCATATCACAGTGCAGAAGCAAGTGTGCATCTACTGTTAGCTCACCTAGCACTACTGATCGAGTAAATGTTGCAGCTTAGCCGAGGAAGACGCCATTAATGTTTACATCTCACGCTGTCACAAGCATGAGCCTCTCGTCCATGAGTAGATGCACGCTTCCTTCTGCACGGTGATCCAGTTGGCAGGTGTAGTTTGGTAGAAAGAAAAATGTTTTGACATGAAACTGCTCACAACAAGGTCACATGATTTCTGGAAAGAGAGGTTGTTGAGTTTTTCAAATGTATTTTTTGAGCACGTTGAGCACCACAAGCTGAGTGCCATCTGGATCTATTATATTTAAGAGAAGGCAGACGTCTCTATGGCCAACATCTCCAACACTCTGTAACTCACACTGAAGCAATCTTGACTGATAAAAAGCTCTACAAGAGAAAAACTATAGATTTTTAATTTTAGGATGAACTGTCCCTTTAATCTCCTGTCTGTAAATAAACACTTGTACGCAGATTGCATGCCAGTAGTATATTTCTGATCCCCGTCTTCTGAAGTGAGAACATCAGTCTGTATTCATCAGTGTGACTGGTCACTGTGTGAGACAGTGATTGCTGAAAAATCTTACCAGATGCATTAGCAAGGCTGGTTGCTGTGGCAACAGCAGCAGTAGTGTGTTTGCCATTCTGGGTAACAGGACGAACGGGAAGTTGATGTAAACCTAGGGCCAGGTTTCGACCATCGCCGCCCTGCACTGCGCTGTCCACAGTCTGGATCACTCGCTCTCTGTTCAGCTGGGCTTCTGATAGAAACACAAACACACAATTCAA